ACGCTCACCAAAAGACAATGCAAAGGACGGCTCACCAGACGCGTGAACGCATGGAGGGAGGCGCTTGAGAACGGCGGGCTGAAGTTAAACGTGACGAAGACGGAGTATATGGCCTGCAACAGCACAGATCTGACGTCTCTCCGTATAGGCGACGACATCGTCGAGCGCACGGACAACTTCAGGTACCTCGGATCTGTGCTTGATGCGTCCGGGGACATCGATCGCGACATCAAGGCCCGTACATCAGCGGCTTGGGCGAAATGGCGCGAGGTGACGGGTGTCATTTGTGACCCCAAAATGCCGGTCAAGCTGAAGGGACAGGTCTATAAGACCATCATAAGGCCTGTTCTTACGTACGTCAGTGAGGCGTGGCCGGTGCTGGAGCGACAACGGCAGTTGTTGCATGTGACGGAGATGAACATGCTGCGGTGGATGTGTGGCGTCACGCGGAAAGACCGTGTACGGAATACATACATACGCGGCAGCCTCCTTGTCCGTGACATTGCTGACAAGCTGCAGGAAAGTCGCCTCCGCTGGTACGGCCACGTCTTACGACGACCGGCAAGCTACGTGGGAAACATATGCCTGGACGTGACCCTACCTGGCACCAGGAGTAGAGGATGGCCCAAGAAACGCTGGCTTGATGTCGCGCAGTATGACATGCGCGCCAATGGGCTAGTTGCGAGGGACGCCGAAGATCGGGTAAAGTGGAGGAGGAAGTGTAGGAAAGCGGACCCTGGGTTCTCCCGCACTGGGCGGGATGAGCAACCGGGATAAACGCTAGGTAGAAGAAGAAGAAGAAATACATTGTTATTATTATTAAACACATTTTTAGTCTCATGGTATTCATAGTAATTTATTTTTCCTAAAAATTATATTTAAATTTAAAAATACAAGCAACTAACAATTAGTAAAAAATAGAAAATTAATACAACACAAAAAGTAGGAATAATGAGTCCCCAAAAATTTCATTACAGCTTTAGCTTTGAGCTGGTTCAAAATTAATATAACTTAAATCCCGATCGGGATCAAAGCTATATTCATCTCAATAATAAGTCAAATTTTTAATTACTTTAATACCATACGAATGATAATTTTAGATACAATTTAGAGTAAATAATTAATAGTTTACTCTAAAATGTAATCAACATTTTAATTTTTTTGAAAAACAAAACATTTATAAGACAAATATTTCAATTTTAAATTATTTATCAATAGGGGGCTTCTTTTCTTCCAAGATGTTTGGGTGGGTACCATTCCTATACCTATTTTGCAGCTGAGAAGCACTGCCAGGACCACCACTGTTGCTTGTTTTAAGATGCAAAGAAAATCAGTTATTGATGTTAATAATTTTTAACAGTGGTAGAGCCACGCGGCAGCTTTTGCTGTCGCACGGATGGGCCGGCTCGAACCAGGGTGGTACCACGACCTCACAGAATACCAGCGTGAAGTAGAGGCTTACCTCTGCGTTGCGCTTGGTGAGTGCATGTGGCTGGAGGCCCAATTCCCCCCGCCCCCCATCAACATGGTAGCGGAATAAAAGAAAAGATTACCCCAGGAGGGCACCAGCACTCCTGGAGAATCCCTCGCTGAGCATCCACGACCAAACTACTCGGGCTGGGCAGCCTGAGCGTGAGTGCCCGCCCCCTTTGATCCACCCGAGCCCTAAAAAAGGCGACCGCTCAGACCCATCCAACTACAGGCCTATCGCCATCACCTCCTTATTTTCGAAAATAATGGAATCCATTATTGGCAGTTAGCCAGCTCATGAGGTACCTTGAGAATCACCAGCTGATTAATGACCGCCAGTACGGTTTTCGTCGGTTTCGATCAGCTGGTGATCTTCTGGTCTACCTGACTCATAGATGGGCGGAATCGGTAGAGTCCAAAGGGGAGGGATTGGCCGTTAGTTTGGACATAGCGAAGGCCTTCGATCGGGTCTGGCACAAAGCGCTACTTTCTAAGCTTCCTTCCTATGGGCTTCCCGAGAAATTGTGCTAATGGATCACCAGTTTCCTTGCTGATCGGAGCATCAAGGTCGTAGTAGACAGTCATCATCATCATTACAGCTTTTCACAAGTCCACTGCTGAACATAGGCCTCCCCCAAGGAATGCCACAAAGCACGGTCCTGAGCCACCTGCATCCATCTACTTCCTACATGTCTCACCAGGTCGTCACCCCATCTAGTGGGGGGTCGCCCTAAACTTCGCCTACCGGTACGAGGCTGTCACTCGAGAAACTTTCTTCCCCATCGGTTGTCGGTTCTTCGAGCTATATAGCCGGCCCACTGCACACTAATCCGTTGGGCTATGTCGGTTACTCTAGTTCTCTTTGTATGGTTATATAGAATATAGAAACTCTTTGTATGATTTTAATTCTTACTAAGGGAATTCGCAGTTATATACAAGTGTCATCATCATCATCATCATTACAGCCCTTCACAAGTCCACTGCTGAACATAAGCCTCCCCCAAGGAATGCCACAAAGCACGGTCCTGAGCCACCTGTATCCATCGAATTCCTGCATGTTCTACCAGGTCGTCACTCCATCTAGTGGGGAGACGCCCCACACGTCGCCTGCCGTTACGAGGCTGCCACTCGAGAACCTTTCTTCCCCATCGGTTGTCGGTTTTTCGAGCTATATGGCCGGCCCATTGCCACTTCAGCATACTAATTCTTTGGGCTATGTCGGTTACTCTGGTTCTACTGCAGATATCCTCGTTTTTAAGTATTTATTAATTATTTTTAATACTCGTATATATTATATTTATATAAGTGTAGTTAGCAGGAAATGTTTGTAAGACATGCAACTCGAGTTGGACCAAACCGGATCAAGTTTTTGCATAAACAACAAATAATTATTTCGGCTCTGACCACCCATGTGCAATTTATATGTGTGCCTGCCTGAGAAATTCCTAATTAAAACATATATTTTGTTTGTCCCCTTGTAACGGAATCATCAATTCATGAATCATCAATTCTATAATTTCATTAGTTAATTACATGTTATGGCTTACGAACATACTGAGATCATTGCACAATTCCTGAAAAAGAAGCTTTAAAAGTGAAAGTTTTCTGTTACAAAAATTTAACTTCGTCAAAGTAAGCCGGATTACCGCCACAAGTTTAAAAAAACTTGCTAACGGTGTCCGTCGGAGATTAAGTTAATTAACATTTTCCCAAAACAGAGAATAACAATTATAAATAACAAAATCTTTATTATATTCATATTCGATTGTATATCATTGTCTTATTGGATGAATTATAATTAACGGTAAATAATAGTACATCCAATTTAGGACCGATTTATTAAATCCTCAAATTTAAACGCAGTGAATAGATACTCTTTGGTTGCGCAAGCCCGTCGCCAAGTTGAGTATTTTACGCCTATCATAAATATACAAACTATGTCTCAGACCAGTGTTATAGGCCAGTGATCAAAGTCTATAATAAAAGGTACTACTCGACCAAAACAGGTAGGTGCATGACAGCTAAGTCTTGATTGGAACTAGAGAGCAAAATACCAAATTACAAGAACACTGATTGGTTCATGAATATAGTTCGTACTTAGTACATACTAGTAACTTGCATGTAATTATATTATGTTATATTTACGTTATGTTATACATTTTTTATTGGAATGTGTTAAATTAAAAATATTTTTCTAAGACAGCGATTTTGATTGATATTTCATAACAGTTAAAGGAATTCAAAACTCCCAATATCCGACATTTCTTCAAAATCTTACGAAATCACGTAGGAGTTATTCTAAGTAATCACTGCCATCGTGCACACTTAAAAACTTTTATAAACTTTGCTTTTTCCAATAACACTGCCGTAATCGTTCAACATGATTAATTTGTATTTTCCAATCATCTTGTGTGATGAACTTTATCATACCATCGTAGTCCTCAGAAGTGACACCGCATCTGCATTTTGATTCTTAATTGAGGATAAATGTAGATGTCTAAGGGCCACAGCATCCACTTACCATCAGGTGGACTGTGTGCTCGTTTGTCAACATTATTCTATAAAAAGGCTAGCGCAACTACCATAGTAAAAAAATTACGAAACGGGTGCTAATTCTAATGGCTATCTCTACCCTGCTTTCTCTATATATCTCTGATCTCTATATTTCGTATTATTAGAGCAATTAAATTAACAACAATATAATGTTCTTCATGGCAAAGTATAGAACATTTAGATAGGCAGGTGGTGATTTAAACTTTACTTATAATAAATATTTAATGCGAATAAATTTTTGGACATTTTTAAATAAAAGTCATCAATAACGGTTATACAGTGGAAAAAAACACCGTTGGACTTACCAATAACCCACAAGGAGGTAACGTCGAAAGATAATTTTTAAATGTTTATTTTATAGATCAAACGCTAGTGTGCCTACGAATCTGATGAGATTTTTATAAGATCTTGCTTAATAATATTATCACACTCTTAGGTGAACAAGTTTTAGCACCGACTTTGTTTACGTTATTCTTTAAAAAAATTATCGATAAATGAAACAAATTTATTTTTGCTATTTTTATTTTTCTAATAGAATAAAATATTCTTATAAATTTGTTTTGTAATAAATAAATACATCCAATTTTTTTTAAAAGCGTACAACTTTCAAAGCAGTGGCGTAGCAATAATACGATCACCCCTCAACCCCGAAAAAGGTCAAAGACAAGTCTTTATCTTTTTAAATTATTGAATTAATAATCTCAAAAATCTGAAAATATGGTCTTACTGAATACTTTGAATTTAAATATTACAAACAATGTAGCATTGAAATTTTAAAAATTGCGATAATCTGCACACCCACGCATTCTTGCCAAGGGCTAGGGTTACTTTATTAATTTTAAATAATTTGCAAAAACTGTTAGATATGTGATTTTATATTTTTAAAATACGTGTGTAAAAATAAGTATATTTAATAAAAATAAAATAAGTGGCAGTAACCCTTGCTACGCCAATAACAGTATAAGTAAAGTTTTTTACTATTCTTCAAAGTAAAAATATCTCACATGTTTAGCGGACGAATCAAAAAATTCGTTGTGGGGTAAATCAAGAGCCGATAGTGCAGCACCGAAGTAGTGTCTTGTAAAGTGCAACACGTCGTTTGGACGTAAAAGCAGCACGGTTTGTAAATAATCACGTATGGTTCCAGTGAGTTCACCGTTCTCAGATACGTAACGAGCACCTTCCGATGATCGAGAAGCCTAAAAAATAAATATATAAAAGGTATTACGCTGTTCAGATATTACTTAGACTGTTATAACATTATCATATTATTATCTCCATAGAAATAATATGTTAATATCTCTCATCGTAGTCTATGATAGCTACTAGTCAAATATAACCTTTTTTTTATAAGATAGGATGACAAACGAGCGCACAGTCCACTTGATGGTAAGTGGTTGCTGCGACTCATAGACATCTACATCTATCCTCGATAAAGAATCAAAATGCAGATGCGCTATCACCCGTGAGAACTAAGATGGAATGCGTCTTTTCCAGTAAAAAGGGTCTCCGGTTCTCTACACTCACAATACGAAACACAGCAGTTTTAAGCTGCTATTTTACACTGGTATTCTGTGAGAGCGTGGTCCTTCCCCGGTCGAGCCGACCCATTCGTACTACAACTATATTACTAATATAGCTGCAGTATGGCTCTATCACGTATAGATACCTGTTAAATTCAATTTCGTTTTTCTAAAACTGATGTGACAATCGAACTTACAGAACCGCCTGATAGTAAGTATGTCTATGGACAGCTGCAGCCAATTTCAAAGATGGCTACATATGAGTTGTCACCTCTGAGGACTAAGATGGAATGCATAGAATGTAATTATATTGACTCTCTATACACTTTAGACTGGAACACAGCAAGTGCAGTGCAAGCTAAGCCATTTGGGGTCAGAAATAGGTAGAGGTTTGTACTTATCTTACACGTTTGTACGTGTCTTAAAGTTCGAAATAAAGTTACAGCCTATAAACGTCCCACTACTTATCACAGACGTCCTTTAACTTCTGAGGTTTTAGATCAAGGAAGTGCTGCCCCAATGCGAACTTCACATGTGTTCGAAATATTTTTTTTCAGACATGCAGACTTCTTCACGATATTTTCCTTCACCGCCGAGCACGTGGTAAATCAGCACTTAAAATTGAAATTAACAATTTCATTCGTGCCGGCGGTGATGCTCGCGTACTGTAAAATTTACAGCGAGCGCTCTGATGTGTGTGTAGCTCAGAGGCTTAACGCTCGCTGTGAAAGTTACTTGAAGAATTGATGGTAGAAGATACAAATTCTTATGAAACGTATCTCCTTAGATGGCCACGTATTCAATTATATTTTTTGCTTTATTTATTTCAGAGTAAAGATATTAATAAAAAAAATTGTCATTTATACGTTCCACTCAATCGTTTTGCAGTTGCTTTTTGAAGCCATTTTTCTGCCCCGTTTTGTTGTTGCATGCACGTTGCATATAAAATTTTCGTCAGAATGTTGTCAAATATGATTATAGATAAAATATCTTAAATACAAACTAAACTGTCATAATTTTCTCATATTTTTTCTACCGACTTCAAAAAGGCGACGGTACTCAATTCGACTGTATGTTTTTTTTTTATGGGTGTTACCTCATAACTTTTTACTGGGTGAACGGATTTCGATGATTCTTTTTTTTTATTAGAAAGCTGGTGTTTCACATGTGGTCCCATATGAATTTGATCAAGGTCTAACCAATAGTTTTTGAGTTATTCTTTATAATTTATATTGAAGTCGTTTGTACAAAATTTTTAATTTTTAATTATTATGAATCAAATATCTATGATAACGTGTTAAGCGGCCGTGCTCTAACAACGCCTTTTTCATCAATAAGCTAACCTCATTAGTAATCTATACAAATAAATAAAATTGAAGTGACTGTTTGTAATGTCAAAATTATAGTTTTTTACTAAATGCATATGAAAATATATACGGTACTAATAACAAAAATACAATTTTTAAAGTTTTTGTCTGTCTGTCTGTCTGTTTGTTCCGGCTAATCTCCAAAACGGCTCGACCGATTTTGACGGGATTTTCACTGGCAGATAGCTGATGTCACAAGGAGTAACTTAGGCTACTTTTTTTTATAAAAGAATTAGGGTTCCGAGCAAAAAAATTAATACCCCAAATAACACGCGGGCGATGTCGCGGGGAACAGCTAGTTCAAAAACATATTTTTTAATTATGGCCTTACATCACCTCACACAATCGTTCTCCACACCTTTCCTGTAGTTCAGATTTAGTCGCAAATCTATGTACACTTTAACCACTGAAAACCACCACTTACACGCAACGCTAGTTTTAGCAAGTTGCATATACAGTATTTTGTATAAAATTATCTAGACATATTTAAAATTTATTCTGAATTCAAAAACAACTATTTCATACTTTATTAGTTAAATATAATATATATTTTTATAGTCGTGTAGGGTGGCGTAAGAAAACCCATCATCTCTATTCGCCCTGGGGCTGACGGCATTTCCTATGCCTTCTAGCAACGGAAAATGCCCGAAACATATTACTCTTCCTTTTGTGATAAATAGATTATCATTTACGCCGGATGAAAAATAGCCACACCAACGAAAGTCAAAGGTTTGACGCCTGGTGCTGGCAAACGTGCTTTTCGACCGTGCTTTATGGTTTCCTTGAGGAAGGCCTGTGTTCAGCGGTGGACTTGTGAAAGATTTTAATGGTAATGATAATGACGATAACCTTAGGTTTTGCACATAAAAAATTTAACGCTTATAATTCAATTTATGATAATATCGAAAAAATTAAATGTAAGATAAATTAAATACCTTGAAATCTAAGTAGTCCGATAACAATTGTAGGTCCTTACGCCAAGATTCGCGAAGTGGTGCGTGAGGTTCAATTTCGTTTTCCTCGGGAGAAACCCGTAACAATGGATTTATATGTATAATATAACTATTATCCGCCCACTCTTGGCTCACGACGTAACCTTTTAACATAAAATGGAAAGGGAACGGAATGGCTCTTTTCATATTATTATTCCTTTATGTTTCGGTTATTCAAATATACAAATAATTCTGTTTACAAAATACCTTACTTACCCTTAAGGGTCATGACGGATAGAGATTGGTGAATACAGCCAGATGGTTCTATTATATGACGCTCTACCTTTTCCACAAACAATGGTTGACCGTTAACAATCGCTTGACTGACGCCTAAACAGACCTAAAATATAAAGTAAAATAACATTTAAAATAAACGTTCCTTCACTTGGAACATTTGTATACTTCCACTATTTTAAGAACAGCTTCGCTGACCTATTGATTACCAACGTATCTTTTTCCGTGGGGGAAAGATCAAAGGAAAATATCAAGCGAAACCTACTCTCGATAGTTTACTGTCGAGTACGGGTTGGACCAGTGTATAAATTTACATTTCCATTAGTGTCAATATCGGCAACATAGAATACTATTATACTATTCGATGATCGGCAATTATTCTCATATTAAAATTTAACTTGATTGCCCCTGACATGATACGGAAAAATTTAAAATTCAATAAATTACTTCAATAGCGACGAAGAAAAGTATTAAATATTTTTAAGCATCTCCATCTAATCAAGTGTAATAGTAGTATTTGAGCTAGTTTATTCATTGGTTTTATAAGAAACTAGATGACCCGGCGAACTTCGTACCGCCTAACAGTCGATTCTTTAATTTTTTATTTTTTTTTAATACTTATTCTGCTATTCGGGACACCTAGCCAGTAAGATAAAAAAAGAAAAAAGAAATTTGATAAGTCAACAATTACATTATGTCAAAAAATAAAAATTATAAAACATTTAAAATGCTTTCAATAGTCACTCAAAAATCCCAATGAAAATTACAATTTCTGATTTCTCATTATGATACCTAATTAATATATTTCATTTTATTTTTACTTATTCTAAATTATGTTTCCATCGCATAAATATTTGTCAATATTTATACGATGGAAACGTCACTCAATTGGTTTTGCGTTCCCGGAACCCCTCCACTAACACTTAAACTTTATGGCGTGGCATTAAAGTTCAAATTGACTTTTAAGTATTATTACGAATCTTTTGTATGGGAATATAGAAAAGTGTTGTTTTTAGACTTTTTCAGGCAATTTTTAAAATTTTTCTCTCCGTAAGAACCATCTTCGTACTTCAAGGAATATTATAAAAAAAGAATTAGCGAAATCGGTTCAGCTGGTCTCGAGATTTGCGCTTAGCAACACATTCAGCGATTCATTTTTATAATATAGATTATATTATAATAACTTAAAAATACATCATCGACAGTACTTACAAAAATACTTTCACATACAACTCCATCGATAAGGACAGTGTCTGTTTTAATACAACCTTTATAACGAGTGAGACCCACATAACGCATAAGCACGATATTAGCGCCTTCCAACAAAAAGTTATGAGCTTCTTCAAAGGTATGATAAAACCGCTTTATTAAATGACGGTCCCCACATATATGAGTAACTTTATTGTAGTAACCGCTTTCACAAATTGCCATATAATTTCGCTTCTCTTTAAATTTATCTCTCTTCTGAATATATCTATAAATATAATATTCTGTTTACACATATTTATCAAACACTTGCCTTGAATTTATTTTTTATTTTGAGTATTAATAAATTATTTTATAAAATTACATATTTCAGTTTTCAAGTCTACTGCAAACAGTTCACTTACTCAGATCTATTTTCTTCCAGCGTATGAAGGTTACAGTCTATGATGCTTACAATTTTAGTCCCTGTCTTAGCACCTTCTTTAGATGAATGAGACACTACTTGAACAAGAAATTTATCTTTGTCCTCTCCCAAAGTCTCAACATTAATTGTTAAACCTACGAGAGAATAAAGCATATTAAAGTCAAAAATAAAACATATCGAATAAAATCTAATTTTAAAATCACAATAATAACCTCCAACAGCACTACAACAATCGATTGATAGTTTCCTTGCCTTTTTCTGATAAATTGGTGTTTTGAGATGTTCAGCATCACTCACTTTTTTAACTATTTTTTCTTTATTTTTCCCTAAAATTTCAATTTTTTCCTTTTCTTTTTCTTTATAGTTTATTTTGTCATGTCTTCCATACCCGTAACCAAAGTAAGTGTGTCGTGGATTAACATCATGACACCATCGAAAACCGTGTTTTCCAGCCCTTACTTTCTTTAATTTTTCTACTCCTTTTCCTTTTTGATTCATTTCGGTAGATTCCGTGAAACAAGTACATTCATTATAGTTGTCAACTTCAGTATCACATACACAAGGATCAAGACATTGACAAGTGTGAAAACATTTACAGTTCTCCGGATTTTCACAAGAACAAACTTTATTAGTAGGAAAACACCGACAAATAATTTCTAAATTAGAATCACATGTACACTCTTCGGGATTCGGACAGTTACAAGGAGGCTTAAGATTAACGTTATCACGTTCAACTTCTTCATTAATTGCTTCACACATACATAATATATTTTCTTGTTCACATACGCATACATCTGGCTTACACGTACAATTTTTACCTTTAAGACATTGACATAAAACTTGCTTCTCTGACTTTTGGCATTCACACGGTATGCGATCATAATCTAGTTTTGCTTTCTCCTTATTGAAATTTTCTAGCACGTTGATGCGTCCACTTTCAATTTCTTGATGGATCTCAGATGTTAAAACACTCTTAATTTTGTGTTTACAATTACAATTAAGGGCTAAATCTTTATTCGTATGACAGATACAAGTTTCACTTATCTCATCACAAGTACAAACCACACGGGGCTTTCCATCTGGGTCACACATACATATTTCAGCCTCATTACAAGTACATATTGGTGTTGGTTTAGTGTCATTGCATATGCATACACCATCTAGCTTAGAACACGTGCATTCCGAAATTTCTTTAGGGCCACATAAGCAAGGTATTTTGTGAAAACATTTACATTGACCGTTTTTATCAAGCTCACAAGTACAGTACTTAGTGTTTTGTTTTGTAGGGTTAATTTTAGGCATACCATCTTTAATAATAAGACTATTTTGACTACTTCCGGACTGAATAGGTTTTTCACAATCGGGGAAAAAATAAAAATAAAAGTTATCGTCGTCGTCGACATTTTCTTCTATAATATTTTCGTCTACTTGCTTTTTCACTGTCTTCACGTCAAAAGCTTCCTTGTCCTCAACGTTTTCATGTTCTTCGATGTGAGAAGAATCGGTACTAGAGCACTCAGAATCCGAAAAAATTTCATCCAAATTGCCATCGACGTGTCCACAGCTTATTATTAATGATTCTCCGAAACATAATTGCTTCTTCAAAGTGTCATCTAAAATACCGCAAAAATTAAATAAATATATTATTTTGCTTTATATCATTATTAATATTGCTACTAAGCAGAATTTGGGTCCGTGAGTCAGAATATCTAGGTTATTGCATCGTGGGATCTAATATTAAATCCCAGACGCTACATGTTTTGTAATTGTCCTCGCTTACCTACCCGTACCTAGATAGCTTACGAAGGTTTTATGCATTTAATTTTAATCTTCATAGGAAAAACGCATTTTTATTCTTTATAAATGATAAATGTAGGTGTGTCTGTGGGCCACTGCATATACCGAACATTGGGTGGACTATGTATATATCTATGCATTAACTTATATTATAAAGGCTGCAGAGAAGTTGACGTGTCTCAAACTCGTTTGTGCGTGCATTCAAAATAAACAATCCACAACACATTGCAAAAAAGATTAAATATTTAAATACAAAAAAATCTATACGTAATCCTGTGTGAATTGACCTACCTATGTAACGATAACCAGAAAGATTTCCTGTCCTTAAAATAATGCGGTTGATCTACATACTTAGTACTTACTTCAAAACATACCATATATTTAAAAAAAGGTATAGGTACCTCGATAGTTCTAAAAGTCAAGAATGATCCATTAAGAGAACGAATAATTATATTTTATTCATCTGGCTAATAGGATTTTGGCGGCAACAACTAGATAGACAATTACGGTTGGCTAAGCTTAGGTGTACCCATTTAATTTATTCATGACCAAAAGTAGGTTTAGCGTTTGCTTTTGGCTAAAACTAGGTCTTATTAAGTTCGAATATTAAGTAAAATAACTTAGATTTCAGCAACTTTGTCAAAAATATGAAAGCACTTATCATGTAATATCAAGGTAGGTTAAAGTGCAGCCAGGGGGCACGTATTTTCACGTAGCAAAAATCTAAATAAGCCCAAGTCAACCCAAGCGTATTATTTCTCCTGGCATGATCCGTACCTTCGCACATGCTTCTGGTATTAATCATTCACAATCAGCTGCACCTAATTGTAGCCGGCTAATCCTAATAGACGAATAAATTTATAATACCCATATTACTTAAATTATTTCACGGTAAAATTAATTGAATTATTTATTAATTTAATTCATCTATTCGTGAAATAATAACACGAATAAATTAATTAGGCTTAGTTAGCCGGATTAGTTTTTTATTATTACATGATTTGTTAAAATAGTTACATTAATCCGTTGTTAGGACAACCTTTTAAGTAAAATATGTACCTATGCCATGTCCCGCTCTTCCGTAAAAAAATTCTAACTTTTTAAAAACTATCTAAAATAGTCTTATAATAACAAAACTTAAATTTAAATTTTAACAAAAAATAGGTTAAATGTGTGTGCGTCCGTGCGTGCGTGTGTGTGTGTGTTGTTGTTGTGGAGTGCATTTTAAGTGATTTCATCGAATAAAGCCTATATTTCTTTATAATTTAGTTTCGTAATTTAGTTTTGTAAGCCAGTCGGGAACTTTTTTAATTCGTAAGTATTTAAAGCATCGGGGGGCACGGGAGTGCCCCCGCCAAGTCGAGCGCGAAGCGAACACTGCCGTACCATCCTTTACTGGAACCATTTCGCCGCATTTTCAGGCCCCTATTTGAGAACCTCCGGATAAGACCAGAACGCAGAAATTTTCGTCATCCAGTAAGCTATAATCACATACTTAAAATCCAAAATTTCAAGTCTGTAGGTCATTTAGTTCCGAAGTTAAGCGAAAGCAAAGTTTCGCATTTATGACACTCACTCACTCATGATCATCAGAATAGAACTAGTACTTCCCATAAACTCAGAGAGCTGAAATTTGGTACAGAGTTAGGGTTTAATGACCACATAAAGGGAAAACTATAAAAACAAGGATAATCGAAGATCTGGAGTACCTGGTGACCCTGATTAGAAAACACAAGAGCCCAACCAAACTATTAGAAGAGATCGACATACCGCCTTTACAAAAATATTCAACTTGGTGGGCTTCATTTGATGTTAAAAATCGAAGGTCTGAAGTATCTGATGAAGAACCCTCAGCTGGTCTCAGATGTATTAGAGATATGGTAATGCCCCCTTCTACTATTGGTACATAAAAAAAAATACGTGTACAGAGAACAAATCCCAATCTGTGTGGCGTATGCCCTAACAATTCACAAGAGCCAAGGTCTAAGTCTAAAAAATGCCCTCATGGACATTGGCACCTCCATATTCTCTTGTGGCCAAGCCTACGTGGCGCTTTCACGAGTAACCAATCTTCATGGGGTGTACCTCATAAATGTTGACTTCAAGAGTATAAAAGCTCAAGCTTCAGCGATCACCGAATACAACCGGCTTAGACGTAAATACCGCGCCGGTCTTTCAGAAATTAAACCGTCTAAACCGTCTAAAAGGCTAAATAATGAACGCGAATGGGCAATACGAAAAACTGTTGCTACTGTATAAGAATCAGAACCGGAAAAAAAGAAAAGAAAGATTTGTAATAATAAAAAAACTACTCCTAAAAAGAAAAAAAATGTGTCAAATAAGAAAATCTAATAAAATAAATCAATATGCCCACGTTTCTACAAAAAGCAGTGAAATCCCACCAAAAACATTCTGTAAAAAACTAGCCAAGTCTCGATGGAGCTGCTTGTTTATCTCTAAAAAGTAATGAAATCTAGACAAAGTCGTGCCAAGTCTAAGGTTCCTTACTGCGATTTCTTTATTATTATAGTTAATGTTGTGTGACTTGGCCGTTGAAGGGTACACAAGGGTACAAAACCAGGTGCTACATTGCATACACACCATTGCACCAATCTGTCGCCAGAATCGCTACCCATTGACGATGGAAAATTGCCACTTGGAAAACGTTGATTGAATAACCAGTCAATTGTAGGCTTGATAAAGCTGCATATTTCAATAATACTTTTGTATAGGCGAGCCTGAAACAAACAGTATAAAAAATTATTTCCAGTACAGGCGGACTTCTAATCATTGACGTTTCCGTTTGTACGTCTATTTTATGTTAGATCGGTGGTCGATTTGACGCTCCAAAAAGAAGAGAGCGGAAGTCAGCATTGTCAATGCATGTGTTGCACAATCAACAACCGTCTAAAATGAGACACTAGCGTCCAATTACCAATACCACTATGGGCTATTATCTCGCTTAACAAACATAGGTAGCTGCAACAGATATAACATTACGTGTAAACATAGGTAATTACGTGCAACATTACGTGTAAACGCAACTTTATCAAGCTTACAATTGACTGGTTATTCAATCAACGTTTCCCAAGTGGCAATTTTTTAAACCCTTTATTCAAATGATCAGATTGGTGCAATGGTGTGTATGCAATGTAGCACCTGGTTTTGTACCCTTGTGTACCCTTCAACGGCCAAGTCACACAACATTAACTATAATAATAAAGAAATCGCAGTAAGGAACCTTAGACTTGGCACGACTTTGTCTAGATTTCATTACTTTTTAGAGATAAACAAGCAGCTCCATCGAGACTTGGCTAGTTTTTTACAGAATGTTTTTGGTGGGATATAATTTTATCAAACTATTCATCTTCTTGTATATATTAGCTGATTAGATTAGGTTCAATACAGATAAAATAAAATAACTAAATGGAAAAGTTTCAGTTTCTATCTTAACAATGGTTTCAATCTATTATGGGCCCTACAAAATGCGTATTAAACGACATCAACAGCTGTGTCCAGGATTATTACCCTGAACTTAGTTTCACTTTCAATGTTTTCTTTCCACTATAGGGCCTAATCTAATGTGTTTGCTCTTTTATAAAATGATTAAACAAACAATAAAGAAAAACACACATAATTTTTTCTATGATATTTTTCCGGCATATTCGGCTGCGGTCACAGAATAAATAATAGCAGCGGTTACAACTTCACATATATTTTTGGAACAGTGTTTAGATTGAATATCAAAGTTCGTCCATCCCTCACACGTAATACTCCTAGTGGTTTGCCGAACTGTGGCGACCGAACTTGACGGAAAATCCGTTTAAAAACGCCGTATTTAAAACACTAGGATTGGTTACGTTAAACAGCATTACTACCATGAAGTATCGGCCCTGCACTCACCAATTCCTCTCAGCATTGTGAATATGCGAAAATCTGATTAAATATTTATGCGATAAGCTTGGATATTTGAAGAAATCCTAACACGTCTAGACGCAATGAAATATTTAATTTCTCTGTACAAATTTTTGTTGTATTCATTGATTAGTTAATTTTGCCAAATTGCGTTGAGTATTATCATTAGCACGATACAAAAGTTCTAATTCTTCTACATAATAGGTCTTAGCACCGATTCCAGAATCTGAATTTATTTTATTATTTTTAGTTGTAGTAGTAGTGTATACGTGGTAGAGCCATGCTGCATCTATATTATGGTTGTAGCACGAATGGCTCGGCTCGACCGGGGAAGGACCACGCTCTCACAGAATACCAGCGTAAAATAGCAGCTTAACGCTGCTGTGTTTCGTATGGTAAGTGTAGAGAACCAGAGACCCTTTTTACTGGAAACGAGGCATTCCATCTTAGTCCTCACGGGTGACAACGCATCTGCATTTTGACTCTTATTCGAAGATAGATGTAGATGTCTATGGGTCACAGCGACCACTTACCATCAGGTGAACTGTGTGCTCGTTTGTCACCCTTATCCTATAAAAAAAAGTTGTCTGAAATCTGCTTTGACTCTTTATTAAAAGTATTTTTTAGGAGATGTTACTAATCGTCCCGCACACAGATTCGACGAGAATCAGCCTCCCAAACGAGCTTGTTTCCGAAAAGGCTTTATTACCATAGACCACAATACATTATTATTATTATTATAACAGCCCTTTACAAGTCAACTTCAGAATACAGCCCTCCCCTAGGTTGTCACAAAACATGGTCCTACAGGTGGCTGCATCCATCGACTTCTTGAATGTCTCACCTAATAGAAAATTTGCACCCGCCTACCAAGCTTGGCTAGAATTGAAAATATCTCTCCTTCAACTAACTTCTATGGGGGAGGCCTATATTCAGCAATAGATTTTTGATAAGCTGTAATAAATGAATGAATAAGTAAAACAGTGAAACCTAGGATCCTATAAAACAATATTCTTCCGTTAACATGTAAAACCGGAGTTTTATGATCAGTGTATGAAACATAAATTATTCACACATCATCAATATTTTTCATATTAAATAAATTATCTAACCATCATAGTAAAATTCTATGCCGACTAGATAATTAATATAAATAAACCAAAAATTTTCATCACGCCAGAAAGTTTGAAAATTGTTTGCTTAAAAATTTAAGCGTAACCGACAACAGAACAGCTTCTGAAATGTGAGTCAAGGGTCCTCCGGCTCTTACCAATTCGTGCGCCAGGCGTAGCAATTACAACATTGTAAAAAGACGTGTACCCATAGAGCATCACGAGCTACCGATGGCCCGTGTTGCTCTATGAGGTATACCTATGCAATTTTGATATGTCATGACTCATGATGTATATTATACCAATATACTGTTGTTTATACTTTATAGACTGAGTAGTAAGAAATCTTAAGTACGAGCATCTATCCATCTAAATAAATGGAATAAAAAAACATGTACTTGCCAATTTCAAATGGTATTTGTTTAGATAAATCTATTAGCGAAATGTTAGATCCGAACGACATTTTTGTTGTCAAATCGTCAAATAAGACTTTTTCACTTTTGCATAATAAGTCCAAAGAGTATATAAACCAAAGAATATGTATATTAATCACGTTTTTTACAAACTACGTTTCATTGGTAAAGTACTTGCCAGTGCTATGTAAAGCGCCTTATTTATGGTATATCTTGTACATCCCGCCAAGGTCATACACGGCGCACGTACACGATGAAAATTGCAAAACAACAATGAGTAGGCATGGCGTAGGTCCATACGTATTACGTATATCAAAGAATGAAATATATTTTTAACTCGTAGCTAGGCTCCGTGGAATAAACAAAGACACATGACAAGTTAGGTACACACATAGACTTAGAATACACTGGCGTATAGGCACATGAGTAAAGAAACCGTATCGTACAGAGGCAAAGCTTCATACAATCGCGCTGTGATATCACGTACAGAGAGAAAGAGAAACTGCTTTAAGGCGCAGGTTGAGCAAAATGTCGCGCTAGTCGTTATTTGTGCGGTTTTTAGGAGCTATCTACTTTTTATTTAACAGATATATCAACAAATAAATAACACATTATATTTCTACATAATCTTGATTCCATAAAAGCTATATCCAATTTTTTTTTAAGGGATAAATATTAATATAATCTCCTTACAACGTAACCACATAAATGTGAAATTATTATTGATAACATGCATCTCCTCGTAAAGTAAGTATTATTTTATTTTGCGATTTACACCAATGGATAGGCAATTTATTAATGAACATTTCTATAGTAAATTTTTTTTCAAAAGACCAAAATTTGATTTTATTAAGAAATTATTTTAAAATCTGGGCATATTCACTGCTCACGGGCTTGCTGAAGTCAGTGAGCCCTGAGCTCTTCGACGTGAAGCCCGTGTCGTTAGAGCGTCGACCAGCGCATACACTCACGTCATATCAGTCGATAATAATATTACTTATTAGGTTATTTATAGGTAGTATTATTTGTTTGTTTTGGGTATAATTTTTCGTATTAGTTATACATATTATATTTGTTGTGTTTTTTACTGCGCGATGAAGCTTTTTGTGTGTATTTTCTTTGAAGTAAATGCAAATATAAAAATTAAGCACCATTAGCATGTAAGGTTCGAATCCATAATTAAAATTTCGACAAATATTATAATTTACACTATAAAAGGCTAATTCAATATTATCACCCAACCACAATATCTTATTATGTATAGTACTGCCTCGTTGGTCTAGTGGTTGTAGTAGTGCGACTGCTGATCATGAGGTTCGAATCCTGGGTCGGGCCAAAAAGTCAGTTAAGAGTTTTTCATTTATGTTCTAAGTTATAATTAGTATTACTAAGTTATATTTTTTTGCTAAAATATAGTATATTATTTATTGCTTGTTTTTTCTTCTTTTTCAAAAAATAATTGAGTACATAAGGTGTTCTATACTTATAATTCAGTAAAAAGTATCTAAGTAGGTACTAATATACCTACTTTTTACTATCTAAAAATTTTTAAAACTAAATTTAACTAAAAAGACTAAACTGACCATTTATTTTTTAACTCAAAACAGGACATGGGTTTATTTATACTCTAAAAACTATAACTTTATACAATTAGTGTTCACTATAAAATTATATTCGGTATAGACGGTAATTATTAAATGCAACATATTTTTTTTAATTATTAATTACATTTGTGAGTTACATTGTGGATTAAATTTGCTGTAATAAAGTTGGTGATTATTTTAAATAAGAATAAAATTCTGCTCAAGTTTTTTTATTGTTATCTTTGTTAACAACATCGCCTTTAGAACTCTGGAACCGTAAGTGTTTCTTTCAGATGTCCACAATTTATTTAAAATAAAAAAAATACTCTTTCTACCGGAGCATTCGTACCAGGTAGACATAAAATATATTCGATTAAAAAAAATTATGTTGAAGATTGTTGACTTTGAATACTTCCATCCAACGAGTTACGGGACAATTTTGTGTCCCGGAGCTTTGTTTGGGGACAATGGGACAGGTGACCGAGAAAAGGGACAGTCCCGTTCAAAACGGGACGTATGGTCACTTTAGCTATAACCCGGCGACGGCTCCGTGGCGCAGTGGCTTAGCAATCAGTTGTTGCGCTGGGGGCCGCGGGTTCGAATCTCGCACGGAACAAGTATTTGTATGGCCTACAAATAATTGTTCCGGGTCTGGATGTTGGTCCTTGTGCAATTTATGTTTGTAAACTGCCTCCACGACACAGGAGAAAATCCTAGTGTGGGGGTAACGTTTTTTTACAATTGAAATTGAAAGATTGAACCCTTATACTTCTTGTTGATTTTTGTATTACCTTTATTAAAGTTACCCTTATGTATAAATAAATATAATTACGTATGTAGAAATAAAATTGATTTTCATCCTCATCAATCATTGGGGCGAGGATAATGTCTGCCAGCATAAGTAATAAGCAGGCTAAGTTACAAGGTGCTCAGTTCAAAAATTTGTAGGTAGGTATGTTACTTTTCAATACGTGACACGTAAAAATTAACAATAATCAAAAACACATCTACGAAACATCCTATTTTTTTTATTTATTCTTTATTGCATCAAATATTTGTACAAAAGGCGAGCTATCTATTTATTTACCTATAGTGAATAGGTATCTTTTAAACTCACAATTTTCAATGCTTCATTTTTAATATATAATTAATTATACAATTTCATAATTAGATAATATATGAAAATACATAATTCTAATATAATGCAACTAATATACCGAATAAAAAAAATTAAAATACATTTATCGTTGTACGCTGTGTGTATTTCCATAAATTAGTTCATTGATATTGAAAAAATAATACTACATTCGTAGCTACTATAGGTGGCGTCTTACATATTTCAAATAAGCAATATATTGAAGCCCCTTAAGCCGCTCGGCCATTGCTCAAACTCAAGGTTGTGTAAAAAAGTGTCAAATTATGTTTTTTAAAGAATAATTCATATCAAACGAAATATAAAAATGTGTAAATATGGTTTATTAATACCCACGTAGATTTAAATCTTATCGAGGTTACCGCTGATTTTATTTACAAAATATGTAAATAAAATCAATAATTTGTGCTGCGATCTCCTAATAAATATAAAAAACCTTTTCGATGCGATAGTTATAAAAGTGAGTTTTTAAAAGAAATGCTAACATTTTTCAGGAAATTAAAGTAAATAAGAAGTGATAAGCAGAAAGACGTTACAAATAGCTTGAACTTCATTCCCTGATTTCAAGTGTCTATAAAATCTGTAGTAAAACTTCATGAAGAATTTAAAAATCAGAAGAAATTAAATTCATTTATATTTACGAGACGTCTCAGTCAAGGTTGTCTCAAAAATTTCTTTGGAAAAGTCAGACAGCCGGTTGGTAACTGCCAGGAACCAACATGTCGACTAGTTAGTATTGTCTTCAATAAGATGTTTATAACCAATATCTTAGGGAAACTTCAAAGTACTAATTGTGAATACGATATTTTAATACAACATTACCGCAACCTGACGATGTTACTGTCCCTGTGTTAACAGTAGAAACAAATGGTTATCTATTTGATCTACCAGAAAAAATGGTTTAATCTATGTGTAGGGATATTTGTATAGAAAATATTGTCTCGAATACCACAAATATGAGAAAATAAAACTGTACGTTAATAGATCTGAACAACATATATAAATATGGAAGAAGATTATTTTTTCAGCCATTTCAAGGATGATAATAAAGACAGTGTTCAATCGAGTTTTTTTTTAATAATATTTCCTGACAATTTTATCGCGTTTGTTGAATTGCTTGAGCAAAAATTTCGCGAATATTTTCATCTCGAAAGAAACTTGTAAATATTTGTATTGAAATATTAAAACGTGTGCAAGATTGTATATTTTATATGTCATGTAAGTGCTTTCCAATAGATTATTTAAAAAAAAACGACATTAGATTTAGAATTTAACATTTAATTAAAAGGCGCAACAAATTTTTGAAGCCATAAAATTATAAAAATAAAATATTTAGAATAAAAACAGTGTGTCAAAATATATAATATATTAAGTGTTATAATAAAAGCTGATAAACGTTTTATTATTTAATTTTTTAGGATAATTAAAAATTATACATTTTTATTTATTCTATTATTGTTCATACAAAGAATTATATTAAAACATATTTACACTTTTTATATTTCATCGAGCACGAATAATTCTTTATAAAATAAAATTTTACACTTATTATTCTTTACACAACCCTGAGTTTGAGCACAGGCTGAGTCGGTTTAAAGCAGTTTCTCTCTATACGTAACGAGCCGCCTGTGCTCACGCACACACGCGCCTCAAGCTTGTAGCAGTGTTATTATAATAGCGTAGTATGAAGCTTTGCCTCTGTATGGTACGGTTTCTTTACTCATGTGCCTCTGTACAGTTTCTTTACTCATGTGGTTTAGACATAGAATTATTACGCATAGAAACGCAGTCTAGTACAAAAGACGAGCGTTAAAATGATGCAAGGTCATTATGTTAGTGGGCGCGAGTCGAATGTGCCTACGCTCGTCACACGCACACATACACGCCATTCAGTGATACCAGTTTCTGGCGTTTGCATTCAAATTGTGCAAATCACTATTTTTGATTAATTTTAAAAAATCGATATAATAAAGATTACGTATACCGTACGAAGATGTATTTTATGAGAATATAAAATGGAATAAAATAAACACGATAATGATGGTACTAATATAACTTTATTATACATATATTAATGGTACAAAAATGCAGACGTAATAAAATTTAAGAATATTGTTAAACACAATTAATTTGCTCGAATATAATAAGCACATCGTGTAATGTTTAATTTTAATCGACGTCAAAAAGGGAGGAGGTTATCAATTCGGTGTATTTTTTAATGTTTTTTACCTCAGAATTCTACAATTTCTAAACCGATTTAGATTTTTTATTTGAAAGGATATACAAACAGATTGATCCAATGTACACGCAGAAATTTTAATGGTTGTTTTCCCGAAATAAAATGATTTTGCCTTAGTAGTACAATAGATTTATTAAAATAAAAAATATTAGGATGCAAAAATAGCAGAATCGAGAAAAACAAAACTCGAATGCGATCACAAACCAATAGCAATATCTCGCAAGTAGTCTGAAAAAAAATTCACTGGACGTAAAGTTGTGTTACGCTTATCGCACGCGCTACCGCTTCCTACACAGTGAAGGGCCACTAATAAATGTTCATAACATGAACTCTCAAGCGTAGTGATACGACATAAACTAGTCTGGACGCCCGAATAGCTTGTGAGGTATTACTATTGTAAATCTGCCCTTTTTTAATTGTAATGTTTTTTAATTTAATAAATTGACTCTACTATCGAGACAGTATAATTTGGTTGCGGGACAACAAGCACTAAAATTACATCATGTATATACGAATTGATCAAGCTTAGAAATCAGTGTACATACATATTGATAACCTTTCTTTTTGGGAGTCGGTTAAAATAGGCTATGTTTGGGTCTAACGTAACATCTGGTTAATGTTTGGGTGTAAAGTGACATCTGGTTAGTAAAGTCGTTCTTATTAATAATCTCTTGATGTTGTAAATAAAAAAGTTTTTATTCTATACTCTAAAACTTAGCCTTAGTCAATAAACAAAGCAATTAAAATAAAATAGTTGCGTTAAAATGGCGTCGACGAACCGCGATTAGCTGATCACTCCGTATTAGTTTTAAATAGGCACCCATTGTTAATATAATGTTAACACTTAGAGAAGTAGGTATCTATATATAAACATTTGAGTTTTACTCAGAGCGTTGCGATTAAACGTTTTAAACACAAATATAAAATAAATATTTTTAAAAGAAAATTGTGATTTTTTCCCCAGAACTAGCAACATTTGTATTATGAGAGCTTAGGTAAGGAGAGTTTTGGCGGGAAATTGACCGGCGGCGGTTTGCTGCTCCTGTATTATTGTTTAAATAATGGTTTGAAGTGGACTTTGATATGTAAAAGTGTTGCGATTTTGTGTATTAAGTGTCTACGCATGTGAACTATTAGTGGAAACAGTGAAACAAGTGCTCTGATGGTGATGGATTCTCAAGATAAGCTGTTTGTTTGCATAGGCACCTTTAGATACCATCGCCAACTATCAGCTGTCTGCTGGATCAAGTTGCCGCCAAAATCTCCCAAGAACTGCACAATGTGACGCATCAACATATTGTGAAGCAGTATACTATGAAGGAGTGGGGAAATTACAATAATCCGAATAAAAATACTTAAGACTTGGCCTAAAGGTCTAGATACCAGGCCATAAACTCCAAAAAAAAAAGAGCTTAGGTAAGTATTTTTTTAGTTTTACGTACTTATAATGAATTAAATGTATAAACTTATATGTGAAATGTAATACCATCACTTCTTTTATGTTTATCATCACTGTTGTAACAATATTTTATAACACAAACGGTAATTTTTACAATTCTACGCGAGCTCTTCTCCGTAAGACGTGACGTTGCGCACTGACGCGTCGCTGAGTCAACTAACGCGGATTCGAGTTAGTTTTACTTGCTTCACTTTCGGTGCGCGTACTAGTATTCTATGCGTAATAATTCTATGGGCTTAGACGACCTGACAGCCCGAAAACGCGTGACTAATTTTGATTTGTCATTGTCTGCGTTCACTAGTGATGTAGTGTAGTGTTTCATTACAAGGGCTATCGAAAAATAATTGTTAAGGAAGCGGTAAAAAGATTTCAAAAAATAGTTTAGTGCACGAAATTAAATAAATTCAAAACTTAACTGAATTTTTACCGTGATAGTTCTAAAATAATCAAAAAATAATCATATAACATGTTCCTGGGAATAAGCTGAACCAACCTGACTTTTGTCGCATTTTAATTCAAATGTAAAAAATCCCGAAAACTTAAAAAAAACCCTCCCAAGAGTCAGATCGAAGTTGTATTTTCGAGTTATGATCTTTGAAGAAAAATGGAGAGCCATGGCAGTAAATATTTTCCCCGGAATTTATTTTTTTACATATTGTTAATATAAATAGGTAGATAACGAAGTATATACCTATTTATATTTTATATATTTTATAAAATGTTTTGATGGGGAAATATAAAACGGGGACACGGAGTACATAAAGGCTGCTTTATTTTTCATATAAGTATTACTTTTGATAATTACAAACATTTAATAATTAAATACATTATAGAAGTTGATTTTAACATCGGCTTAAATATGAATGTAATCTTAATTCTTTAATAATAATTCAAGTAAGGAAACTTGTAGGAATCAGTTAAATAAGATTACTCTGTTTGAAGGCCAATATGTTTATGAGGCTTCATCATGCTTTATGCTTATATTCTTTCATCTGTCCCTGAAAAGTATAAAGTAATAATAAACTTATTATCATTTTAGCTGCATGAATTTTAAAATCATAATGCTCTTAACAGAGTAAAGTACACCAAGTGTCTGAGGATACAGTTGCATTCTCTATTCTCTCAATCTCGGTATGTTAAGAAAATGGTCACTCATTCATGGACTAACCGCGGCAAGTGCAACTTAATCTCGCAGATCTATTGTCTATTGATCCACGCAGCTAAGCTAGTAAACCACGAGTTCCTCTTCTCTACGACTAACGCTGTAGGCGATGCACCACGCTATTTAAGCCTTCGGCACAATGTCATCGGCCATTAGGCATGAACCGGTCATCAAGCGTTGTGAGTATCAAATACTATGGAATTTATACTATCCTGGCACATTCATCAACGCACGTCTCATGCGCGGGCGTCTAGTTGCATTTCAAGAGCATTACTAAATATATTATATCTAACTACGCTAAAAGTTTTATCATTGTGACTAAGGAAAATAATCCGAAGCTCCACGCAAACCCTTGGGGAAAATATGCTATGAATATTGCACTAGTGTGACCGTGATGTGCGGGTGGTGAAGTAAGGTTATACATTTCTTTAGTTGATAAATAAATACTTAGTTGGGTTCATAATGATTTAAATAGGATAATCTCAAGATTTTTTATCTTTAATATACTACAGTTTTATAATGTATCTATTTTTATCTACAGTTTTGAAAGTTAAATTTTTGAAGTCTTATTATAACAGTATTATACTTACTGGTAAAAATAATGTAGAAATGGCTTCTTTTAATAAAATTGTTTTATTCTATTTTTTTCTTTTATGCTTCTCAAGAAAATGTTTGCTGAAAATTGTTCAGTTCTTCTTTGGATTCCAACCAACCCGTTCAATTAACTTTAACCGCTTTTTCTAAATATAGAATCTGGAGGGAATCTGTTTGACAAAAGGCAAAATAAAATTACATTTTAGAACGCAAACCGAGGATTTATTTTCTTGTTGTGTGGGCAAATCTATCGATTCATTATAAACATTCAAGACAAATATCTATATCATTTTGATATAGTTGAGTCAATCCCTAGCGTACATGTAAAATATTTTGTATAAAAATGTATTTACCAAGTTCATGAAAATTATCAACAACGTGACTTTTTTCTTTGCAAAATATTAAAATTAACAAAAGAGTTGAAAATATTATATATTTTAAGCAGTATATAACATAAATTTTAATGAAAAATAAACGCGTCATAATATTGACGACGTCTTGAGAATTTACCTGTGGAATGTGCAATTATCAGGATTATTTCTATTATTAACACCACAGTCACTTACAGAACAAGTAATAATTTTTCTAAAAAAATCTTGCGTGCAGACTTGTGCCGATCTGTTATTCAAAATCGGTTACAGAGTCATAAGATTTGGTATCCTTTTCTATCTTGCATGTTTGGCATAAGGAAATTTCTTCTCCCTTGCATACTATGTCAGTCTATACGACAGTATATTCTAAGTCTATGGATACACAGATGTAAGAGTGTCAACGTCTTATGACCCCATCCAATGTGAGTATTACAATTTATTCAAGCAGTAAATAGTATGACTAGCATAATATATGCACATTATAAAACGCTTGAATTATTTATTTAGTAGCAAATTTGCGAGCACTTTCTATTTTGATAATATTTAACAATCTTGAGTGTTAAAAAATTAATTAAAACCCAAGTGGCAAATAAAAGAATGTGTGCTTAAACTTGATTTTTAAAGGATATAATTCCCTATTGCATCTAGTGTAAATAGCAAATTAATGATATTAATGTGCAAAGTAATATCTATAATTACAGTGATTGTTATATATTGTTTTTGGCTGAAAGCCTCATAGCCAATGCAATCACTATAAGCACATAATACGTTCCGTGCTACCATAATCGAATCCCTTAAATTCGAAATTTACAACAAAACCTATGCTTTTTTTCTTTTTTATATTCACAGTAACTTTAGGTAATTAGTATTACCATAATTTCATATCATTTATTACATAAAATGTTGCTTTCATCAAATAAATATAATTCAATTAGAAAACCTAATCATGTTTATAAACGGAATGTATCTGTCGGGCAATCTGACAGATGATGTGGCCTAACGTTTGATTTCTTGAGTATTTTAGGAATTCTGTAAATATAATGCTAAAATGATTGTATTAAAACTTTGTGTGTTTATGTTACTTATATCATTGTTCCAATGTAGATTACCTGACAAAGTTTATTGTGTAAATGAAAAATGCACTGGTAAGTAGTTCCGAAAAATTTATCAATCTTAGATTATACATAAATAATGCTAACATCGTTTTAAAAATATTTCAGAGCCTATTTCTAAAGCCAAAACACTTTTAAACTATAATAGTGACGACCCAGACCTTATCTCGTTTCCTGCTAAATCTGAAGCAATTGTGTATATGAAATCAGCTGGTAGCAATCCCGAATTATGGTATGCTAAAATTAATGGTAAATCAGGATTCGTTAATTCACAATTTTTAAAGGAGTCTAAAATAATTGTAAAGAATCCTCAATTTATTGTTCCTATTGAAAACAATTTTAAGACAGATGTTCAGCCAGATAAAGTACAACAGCCTCATGAAGTTTTTGAAGGCACTACCATTTTCACAACTGAAACGGCAAGTAAAAATATACTAGAAAAAAATATTACAGAAAATCCTGGTAATATATTTAATGAAGGTGTTTCATCTCAATTAAGTACAATTAAGGAAACACAGAATGTAAGCACTGATAAAAATGAAAAATTAGCCCAATTTAATAATGATAATAAGAATCATCAATCTGTTAATACAGAAACAGTCCCTGTTTCAAATATTTCAGCAGAAGATAATTCCGAAAGTAAAAATCAAATTATGCAAGAAATTGCTGCAGATAATATAGAAGATGAAATAAAAATAGAGAAATCTATGAGTAATAATGTACCGGTTGCTGATGATCTTAATGAAAATGTAATAGAGAATTTAAATATAAATAAACAAAATATAAATAGTAAACATGAAACAACTGCTGAAAATATAGATAATTCATCAGAAAATAAAGAAGATATTGTTGTACCTTCTTTAAAGGCAAATATTAAAAACCTACCTGACGCAAGCCAAAAATCAGATATTGCTAATATTACTGTCCAATTAGATTCTACCACTGAAAGGATTATCCAGGAAACATCCCCTGATGTTAATATGGACCAAAATGAACAGATTTCTAATTTCCAAAACTCTAATATGAAACCTTTAGGACCTGTTTCTGAGACATTTCCTTCATTGCAAAAAGAAAATGTAGAATCAAATGAAAATGTGTCTTCCAATAGCACTTCAGAAAACTCTATTGATAACACTGTTCTTCCACAAACTCCACCAATACCAGAAATTGGAGAGAGTGTTCAAAAAAATACTCTTGTACCAAAACAAAATATTGAAAACTTAGATAATAATTCGCATGTACAAATAGAACCTCATATCGTGCCATCCAACAATAATGAAAATCAGAATCAACATGTGAATGAACAGCCTGAAGTATCTTACACCCATGACAACAGTCATAATATTATTTCAAACAACATTCCTAATCAAGATAATAATGTCATAAATGATTTTCAAGGTGAACCATCACTATCATCTTCAAATTTAAAAACAATCCCAGCTGCTTCTGTTGACATGTTGAATGAAATATCAGAGGCAACAGAATCAAATAATCAAATTGCTCCATCGCAAAATATAATGGAATCAACAACAGAATACCAACCGCCCAATATGGTTACAGATGAACTCACTACACAACCAACAACTTATTCTGAAAACTTAGAGGGAGCTTCAACTGTTACTATTCCTTCTGAAAACATAGATGATACTGTTACACCTAATTCTAATATAGATGCGTCTGCCTCGTCATCTACTGAAATGAATATAGAGGATTTGTATTCTATGGCTACTGAGAGTCCTGCTACTAGTCAAGAAAATAGTGAAAGTATTCTATCAGATATGTACTCAACTATAGCAGATTTCTTGCCCTCAACAACCGAGTCTCCTCCTCATTTTGAAAACTTGTTCAATGCTGATGTAAATCCTCCACCTGAACCAGAAAACAAAGAATTTTCCATTATGCAGTATATTATTTCTACTTATAATAATGTGATGGGTACCAATGAAAAAACAAGAGCACTCTTTGCTTCTGCTGGTATGATCAGTCATATTATTTTACTAAATCACTCTTGAAAATTATTTGTCTCTACAGTTTATTCGAAATTTTAGTTTTATTTTCTGCCAACTTCCAATAAGGAGATGGTACTCAATTTGACTGTATGTTTTTTTTTATGTGTGTTACCTCATAAGTTATGAGGTATACTGGGTGAACCGATTTCGATGATTCTTTTTTTATTTGAAAGCTGGTACTTCTCGTGTGGTCCCATATGAATTTGATCAAGGTCAGACCAATAGTTTTTGAGTTATTCTTAATAACTTATATTGAAGTCGGCTGTACAAAATTTTTAATTTTGAATTATTAACTTACATAATATGTAAAGTTACAGCTTATATACATACATACCACTTCTGAGCATGGGCCTCCATTAATTTCTGGGGGGATTTTAAGGCAAGGTGGTGTCTACAGCATTGCACTACTCAAAATAATTTCGACGGCTCCGTGGCTTAACAATGAGTTGTTGCGCTGGGGGCCGCGGGTTCGAATCCCGCACGGAACAAGTATTTGTATGGCCTACAAATAATTGTTCCGGGTCTGGATATTTGTCCTCGTGCAATCTACGTTTGTAAACTGCCTCCACGATACAGGAGAAAATCCTAGTGTGGGGATAACGTATTTAAAAAAAAAAAGAAAAAAAAATTACATTCAAATTTCCTCACAAAGATTTCCTTAACCACAGAATGTGGTAAAATGTTAATATATGATAGATTATAATTGCAAAATCTTGCATAGTGTATTGCTTTTTACTTTCAATAATGCTCACATTCTTGTGTAATATTCTTTAAAGTTTTGTACTCAGAACTCTACAATAAGTAATTTTTTTTAGTGGCGCAGTGTCTGAACAATGAGTTGTTGCGCTGGGGGCCACGGGTTTGAATACCGCACGGAACAAGTATTTGTATGGCCTACAAATAATTGTTCCGGGTCTGGATATTTGTCCTCGTACAATCTATGTTTGTAAACTGCCTCCATGATACAGGAGAAAATCCTAGTGGGGGTAACGTTTTTTAAAAAAAAAAAGAAAAAAAATGACATTCAAATTTCCTCACTAAGATTTCCTTAACCACAGAATGTGGTAAAATGTTAATATATGATAGATTATAATTGCAAAATCTTGCATAGTGTATTGCTTTTTACTTTCAATAATGCTCACATTCTTCCGTAATATTCTTTAAAGTTTTGTACTCAGAACTCTACAATAAGTAATTTTTTTTAAATATTTATGTTAGCCTTATGAGTTACATACATTTTCATAATAATATTATTAATTAATTTACTGATTCACTTGAATTTAATAATATGAGTTTTATGTTCCTTAATAACTTTGAAACAATTGTATGATTTGCAGGGGAAACATGTTTTACAGATGAATATTGTGACGGAGAAAGTTTTAGCCAGAAACATAGGTTACTGACTTTCCTTGTGACAACTGCTGGAACTGTGCTACTGTTTACATTGGGATATTACTATATTGAGAATAAACGACAAGATAGCAAACTTATTGGCACAATTAATTCTTTGCAAAGAGACTTACTCTTTAGCACAAAGGTTAATGAATTACTTTTAATAAAATGGACTGACACTGCTTCTTTACTTTACTTTAAATAATTTTTGTTTCTTTAAACATTGCTATCACACGTGTACATTCAGTATCTGCCAATTGTCCTATATCATTATATATCATAGCTCTCCTATATCATTGTATATGTTTCTCAGGAGTGTGAAATTCTTAAAGAGGAACTTGCCAATACCAAAAGTAAATTAGCTGGCATTGAAGATAGTTCGTTTGGAATGGATGATATGGTACAATCACTAAAGGAGGAGATCAGTGAACTGAAGGTGCAGAATGAGAGATTACGAAATTCTTTAGACGATAATGAAAAGCTTTTAAGAGTGTCCGAAAATACTGCTAGCGAATTACAGAATACATTGAGTGAGGTTGAGAATACTCTAAGTGAACTCTGGTCAGAGAGAGCTCATTTTGAAGAGCAAATTGCAGAATTAAATGGTAATATTACTCAATTGCTATTTATTATATTATATTACATATAATAATTGCAAGCCATAAACAAAAATACACTAATTTAATAATTAACACTTAAAAACATGCAGTAATTTTCGGTTCTTTATTATTTTGATTACAGAAATATTAAATTTTCTACTTAAAATTATGTACTTAATACAAACATGATATTATATTATAATTAAATATTGTTTTCACAATTTTAAAATTACAGGAAAAATACAAGCTTTCGAAGAGGAATTAATTTCAGTAAGTAGAGAAAGGGACAATTTCCAATTGAAATTTGTATCAGCTGAGACATCACTAGACGAGTTTAAAAAGCAAAAGAAGCAGTTTGAAGAAATTAACAATAAACTATCTGAAGCAAATAATACAATTGAATTACAAAAACATGAAATTGAAGCTCTCAAAGTAAGTTTATTATTTAAAAATATTTATTAGGCTTAAGGTAAACAAGTGTCAATATGTGATATTCATACACCATTTTGTTCTGTGGGTGTTGTAATAAGCAACTGATAAATGGCGGTATAACAATACCACAGTCTAACAACTACTAAGAGTCGGTCATTAAAAGCTTCTAGACAGGGCAATTGTGCGGTACGGTGCAGGGCGAGGAGCGGGCTGAGCACTAGGTACTAGCACTAACTGTCTGCTAGGGTTGTCATGTCACATAAATAAAATGGTTGACACTACATGTGCGGTAAAAAACTGTGGGTCGTCTTCATTTAAAGATCAGAAATGGGTTTCATCAGTTTCCACATACAATTGTTTTAACATGAAATAAAATAAAATCAGTTTTTTATTTTTTTATTGCTTCCTGTTCTGATATTCCTAGCAATTTATTGTTTATGTTGGCTTTTCCGACAACATCAAGCGCGATGACTGACTGTATGTTCTTCTTAGGCTTTGACAATACCTAATGTTCATCCACCTACCAAATGTGAAAATTAAGGCAAATCCTCCCCAGTGGTAGGCCCATATCCAGTAGTGGATTTTTACAAACTGTCCAGGAAGAAGAAGATAGGATGTTGACAATTAAATATAATCAGTCAATCAATCAATATATTCTTTATTGTACACCAATACACATTACAATGAAAAGGTTAAATGAATAGTATAGCAGGTACAATAGGTGGTCTTATCTTTCTGATAAAAATACATATCTTCTCGATAAAATGTTACAGACAATTGTGGTACCTTTCCAATATAACCTATTACCAACCAATCTGTTTGAGCATAAATAATGAGTAGTGTTTAAAAGGCTTTTACAGCCTGAAATTACGAAAAATATTATGATAAGCAATGCTTGGTTTGCTTTTCTTGCCAGTGTTTCTGTCGATTTAGTGATACTGGCAGTAAAACACATTTTAGCCCATTTTCTAAACCTAACTTGTACATTTGACCTTGTTAATTTTAATATATTATGGAGGAAAATGCATAGCTCCCAATGTTCCTGACAGTGTTGGTCTTGGTAAGATACTGCTACAAGAACTGTTCGCAGAGGCTAATGTCAAAGACTTTTAGGGTGTTAGATTGTAAAACAGCTAGTTGTATGCAACTTTGCTTCCTCCTGACGATGTATTTTATAAACAATGGCAGAGCATGCATCTGTCGATAAATATTACAAATGATTAAATTTAGTGTTATATTTTATTTCAAAATAAAATGTAAAAAGCATGTGTAAATTATATTTCTATGATCATTTGTTTTAATTCAAAATTTTATATCAATATACTAGCAATCCACTCCGGCTTCGCATGAGTGTATTCTGGATCTCGACAACAGCGACACCTACCGGGTCTAATTGTGAATCTGAACCATCAAACGCACACAAGAAATTTCATCAAAATCATTCGAGTCGTTTTAGAGTTTTAGCGTGACTTACGGACAACAATTTATTTTTATATATAGAGAAGAAGATAAATGAATTGGTACATTAATTAATATATAAACATTATAATTATTAATCCTCAAAAACGCACTAGAACAGTGTGACGGACTAATGGCCACGTGACTCACTTAGAAATGATACACCTATGCCCAACACTGTGACATATAAGGCTCTTACTTTACTTTGTATATCAACATTTTTTATTTTAGGATGTAATTAAAGAACTAAAGAGTGGTGTTACGTCAAATGTAGATGCTGCATCTCTGATAGATCATACTGAAATCAAAGCCAAATTATCTAAAGCACTGGAGGAGAGACAGTCATATATGAGTAAATATGAGGTAATTCATATTATTTATAATATTTCCTAAACCTTTGTTTCTGTCTTGTTCTATATTTTCTATGTAAAGTAAAATTCTCTTAAATGTTCAACAAAAGAATTAAAATTTCATTGTCATCAATTTGTCTTGATGTCTATTGTTATAATTAGTCTACCCATAAATAATATTACAATATAAGTGTAGTTTATCAAGAGACTGTTTTGCATTGTGTAATGAAGTCTCAGTGATACACTTTTTAAAAATGTACCATGTACTTTTCAGCAAGGCTATATATAACCCTATGTTCTATTTTTTGACTGATATTTGTGCCCAATTTATCGTTCTCCTTATATCTGGATTTATTTCTTGTTCCTTTATGGCATCAATATTACCTGGTGACGTAAAGGAGTTTGTTTTCAGAACAATAACGCGATTATAGATGTGCATTTATTTCTATATACATTATGATATTTTATGACAGTTTATAAAAAAATCTCTTTGATTCTGAAAGCTTTTCTTATAAGATTATATTACAAAAATATTGTTTTTTTAGTGAAGAATTACAAACTTGTATCCACAGTCTTCATTGTAAGAGTTACAAGCATAATTGTAAGAGTGATGGCCATATTCATCTATAGCCTAACAGCGTGTCACTGTCTTCATATCGATCGACTTTTGCTTGATTGATTTCAACTAACCGTCTAATATAACTTGAGAATTTTGTACATGAAAATCGCAAACAACTCAAACCTGATTTGACAACAATGTTCTTAATTTTATCATTGCTGAAGATAGTAATTGTACAGTTCATAGACATGTGGATATGATCTGCTCAAATTCTTATTCCGAGACTGATTCTCTCATCTTCAGTGATACAAGTCGCAGCACGTAAATCTAGCGCTGAAAAAAACGTGGAGGGGACGCGCACGAATTGAATTGCACGAATACGACTAGATAGCCAATAAACGCGTCCGAACGATACGCACTAGCCAATCAGCGCGACTTATGAGCAATAGCCAATCAGCGCGTCTTATGCGCAATAACGGTCACCGCTAGACTTTCGTGCTGCTACTTATAGCAGTGGCTAAAATTCACCTGAACACAGTGCATAAATTCATAGATTCGTGGTCAGAGAGATTAAAAAACTATGTCAAAGCCAAAGGCCTGCACTTTGAATAATATTGCTTTTAATTACTCACTTACGACTTCTAATATATGCACATATTTTATTATTACAGAACTAGGTATTAAAGATATGCATTTTAATGCGTAACAGAATCATGACCACACTAGGTCTATTCTATGGCATAAGATAACATGTAAGATATATTAAAAAATAACATACATTGATAACCTCTCTTTGTGAAGTAGATTCGAAATTAATTTTAATTTTTAGTGTCACATCTGCGCATTAATCAAAATTAGATAAATATTTATAAAAAAAAGTTTGTTCAAACATTTTGTATAATTATTATATCATGTATTTATTTAAAATACAAAAATTATATTAGTGATTGTTAAAGAAATTCAACACATTGAAAAAATATTACTAAAATAATGAAAGTTGTACAGTTTTGAACTCATCATTTTTTAGATAGAACATAAGGAAAGAGTCCGTCTTACAGAAGAGCTTCAGACGGCTCAGGAATCCTTCCGCACTTCCAGTCAACAAGCAGCAGAGGCTCTCACAAGGCTAGAAGTCCTTGGCAAATATTTCCAAGAAAGAGAAAGTGAACTAATGAAGTAAGCTATGCTCCACTACTACTGCGCTAAGCCAAATTTCACTTTAATGTTTTTCTTCTCTTAATGCATATTATCTAATTATTTTTACATTTACATTATGTTTATGTGTATTTCAAAAATGACACTAAACTATTTTAATTTTGAATTCGGTAAATCATTAGCCTACCCATTACATTTTTGCAGAGAATTGAATGCTAAAGAATCACTGTGGCTCAGCAAACAAGGCGAATCAGCAAGCACCATAGAGAAAATAGAGCTTTTACAACAAGAACTTCAAAGATACAAGTAAGTATTTAATTTTATTAATAATATAGTACTTATCCTCACGCACAATCCCTGACGGGGTAGCCAGAGAGAACAGATCGCCAAGTGTCACGATCCTTACATACCTCTTTCGCTTCTTTCAGATTCATTATCTTCTTCATACATGCACGTCTAGGTACTCGAGTACTCTTGACCCTCCCCTCTTCGAGCAAGTTGCTCACATGGTCTTCGAAAGTTAGTCTCGGTCTACCTCGACACCTTTTAATATTAACTTTCGCGCTATATATTTTCTTCACCATTCGGTCTTCACTCATTCGCTCAACGTGCCCAAACCATCGAAGCACGCCCTTATCAATTTTTGTGATAAGGTCATCTTTCAAACCTGCCATATTGCGAATCTCTTCGTTTCGCTTTCGGTCGGCCATGGTAACACCGCACATTTTACGAAGAGATCGCATCTCCACTGCATTCAACTTGCTTTTATGCTTCTTCTGGCATACCCAGATTGCGCTGCCATATAACAAAGTCGGTACCAACACTGCGTTATGTATTGCAAGGCGTGCACTCTTCACTACGCCTTGCCTTTTGACTAACGCAGTCAGGGCACCATTGACTTTGTTCCCGGCAGCGACACGCCTGTCCACATCTAAATCACATCTTCCATCCCGGCTAAAAGCACTCCCCAAGTATACAATTTCATTTACCTATTCTAGACATTCCTGATTTACCCATATTTCACACTGCGTTCTCTCTTCGTCCCTTTCAAATACCAGAACCTTAGTTTTAGGTCAATTAGCCTCATTTAGTCTCAATTAGTCTTAGGTCAATAGACATCTACATCTATTCTCGATTAAGATTCAAAATACAAATGCGTTATTACCCCTTAGGATTAAGATGGAATGCCTCATTTCCTGTAAAAAGGGTCTCCGGTTCTCTACACTCACCATATGAAAAACAGCAGCATTAAGCTGCTGTTTGGTATTCTGTGAGGGCGTAGTCCTACCCCGGCCGAGCCGACCCTTTCGTGTTACACACATAAACTGCAGAGTATTGATGATTTTTTGATTACATTTAATTTTGATTAGCAAAAATATGAAAGATATTTGACTTTGACTACTGTCAAAGTACTGTTGTGAACTTAATATAAAAAGCAGCCCATATACATCCGTCTGGATATATAGTCTATGGTGCTAGCCCGCTTTTTTTTTATTTTCAGAGAGAAATGCGACGCGTTAACACTGGAGTTGGCAGAAGCGGAGTCGACGCGGCGCACGGCTGTAAGTGAGGTGGAGGCGCGAGCGCACGCCGCGTGGCTGGAAGCCAGAGCGGCGCGCCGGGAAGCGGACGCGGCGCGTGACGACGCCGCGGCTCTGCGTCGCAAGCTGGCCTCCCTTACCGCGGCCGACGGCGCCGCCTCTCCACACAGACGTAAAAATCATATTATTTATAACAATTTTATTTTGGTTTAATTTTATTTGTTTTTATTTACACTATGGATTTGGAAGCTCGTACATATTTAATCTGTGACACTAAATCAATGTTGCCATCTCTCGGTATAACCACAGTTTAAAGACCTAACAGTTGTGAAACGCCTTTGATATCAGGCGGTGCCGCCGCCCGCGTTTGTATTTACTATTTACGTCGTCGTCGCAAATATAGTAGGGGTTGTCACGAAATTGGGAATAAAATATTTTTGGATATTGTAATACTCAATATCATTTATTAACATTATGTAAGTGCTTTACTTATAAGTTGAAATCAACTATGGTAACGGCAGGGCAGGGTATGCTAAGTATCTCCGGTGGAGGTTCGGTTGCCACCTAAGACGACTCGACCTGACAACATACAACGCACGCACCCTGAAGACTGACGAGAAGATCCTAGACCTGGAGGAAGATATAGACAAGTTACGCTGGCATATTATAGGATTATCCGAGGTCCGAAGAGAGGGGGAGGACACGGTAATCATCGAATCCGGCAACTTGTTCTATCACCTAGAGGGACGACCATCTGTCCCAAGTAGGTGTCGGATTTATTGTCCACATGTCTCTCGTTAACAACGTTATAAAGATTATGTGTGTCGACGAGGGTTGCGTACCTTATACTCAGAATCACCAAACGGTATTCGGTGAAGGTCATACAGGTTTACGCACCAACCTCGGCGCATCCCGATGAGGAGGTGGAGGATATGTTTGAGGATATCTCTAAAGCCATGCATTCCTCCAAAACCCACTATACGGTGTTAATCGGAGACTTTAATGCAAAACTAGGCACAAGAGAGAACGGTGAGCTGAAGGTAGGGAAATTTGGAATCGGGCAACGGTACCCAAGGGACCAGCAGCTGGCCATTTCATGGAGAGTGAGGGACTCTTTATGATGAACTCTTTCTTCCAGAAGCGGTCCCACAGGGAGTGGACCTGGTCGAGCTCCGACGGTTCGACAAAAATTAGATTGATTTCATTATGACGACCAGACGACCACTGTTCAGTGATGTCTCAGTGATCGCGAGGGTGAAAACTGGTAGCGATCACCGAATGGTTAGAGGCACACTGAACCTAAACGTTAAGTTAGAGAGGTCTCGTCTAATGAAGTCAACGCTCCGTCCCCCTTGTGCTCTAATCCAAAGTCCCGAAACCTTTCACCTCGCGTTACAAAACCGTTTTCAGTGCCTTGAAGATTGCAATGAAGTGGACGATATGAATGATAAGCTCGTGGAAATTGTCCATGCGGTTGGAGCTAAGCTTTGCAAGACCTGCCGCAGAAGAACACAAAAACTCTCCTGGCTGTTAACCTCATGGCTGTTAGACGGAAAATGAAGTTGCAGTCTTCAGTAGATTTGATAGCATACAGGTAACTGAACAGACAGATCTTCAAACGCATGCGGCGGGGCTTACGCAACTTTAATATTGCTTGTATTAAAGAAGCGATCGAGCGGAATCAAGGCTCCAAAGTCTTCGCCAGAGATCTGTCTGCTAGAAAGAGCCAACTGTCAAAGCTGAAGACTTCTGAGAGGTTTTATGGGCGGTTGGGCAGCTGTACACGTCATCCTTGGAGCCACATGCAAGTGTGAGTAACGATCCAAGAGCGAGTCTTATCCGACATTCCGATGATATCCCGGACTTCAGTCTGAGCGAGATTAGAATGGCTCTCCAGCACATTAAAAACGGCAAGGCCCCAGGTGAGGATGGAATTACAGCGAAACTTCTGAAAGCGGATGGAAAATCGGTACTTGAAGTCCTTTAGAAGCTCTTTAATTCCGTCCTCCATGGTGGGACTACTCCGAAGGCGTGGAGCATAAGTGCGGTGGTCTTGTTCTTCAAGAAAGGCGACAACGCTCTCTTGAAGAACTACAGACCGATTTCCCTTCTGAGCCTCGTGTACGTGCTGTTTTCGAGAGGTATTACGAATCGTCTCGCACGACTCGACGACTTCCAGCCTCCCGAATAAGCCGGTTTCCGAAGAGGTTTTAGTACCATAGACCACATACACACCCTTCGGCAAATTGTAAAGAAGACAGAAAAGTACAATTTGCCTTGCGTTTGTAAACTATGAGAAAGCCTTTAATTCCGTCGAAATTTGGGCGGTGCTGCAGTCCCTTCAGCGGTGTCAAGTGGACTGTCGGTATATCGAAGTGCTGAAGTGTTTGTACAATAGGGCTACGATGGCTATAAGAGTACGAAACTTATCCAAATACAGAGAGGTGTAAGACAGAGTGACGTTATATCCCCGAAACTCTTCACCGCTTCATTGAAAGACACTTTCAAGTTAATGGACTGGAAAGGATACGGTATTAACATCAATGGTGAGTACATCACTCACCTTCGATTTGCCGACGATATAGTCCTTATGGCAGAATCGCTGGAGGACCTAAGCACTCTGCTCAATGACTTCAATAGTGTCTCCCAATGAATAGGTCTTAAGATGAACATGGACAAAACAAAGATCATGTTTAATGTCCATGTCACACCTATGCCGGTAGTTGTTGAGAGCTCTAAGCTCGAAGTTGTTGACGAGTATGTTTACCTGGGACAAATAGTCCGACTAGGTTAGTGCGACTTCGACCGAGAGGTCAATCGACGGATTCAGCTCGGCCGGACAGTGTTCGGGAAATTACGACACATCTCGTGAGGTATACCTCAAACCCTGAAAACGAGATTGTACAACCAGTGCGTGTTGCCAGTGATGAATTATGAATCTGAGACGTGGTCCTTCACTGCTGGCCGTATGAGGATACTCAAGGTTGCTCAGCGAGCTATGGAGAGGACTATGGTCGGGGTTTCTCTGCGTGATAAACTTAGAAATGAGGATATTATCCGCAGTAGAACCAGAGTAACCGACATAGCCCAACGGATTAGTAAGTTGAAGTGGCAATGGGCCGGCCATATCGTTCGAAGAACCGATAACCGATGGGGAAAAAAGGTTCTCGAGTGGCAGCCTTGTACCGGTAGGTGGATTGTAGGGCGACCCCTCACTAGATGGAGTAACGACCTGATAAGACATGCAGGAAGTCGATGAACCCTTTTTATACAGCTTTTGTTTAATTAAATATTTAATCTTGGTAATAGAGATACCTTGTATATTTTGTGGGACTTTGTTGTAATAGCGTATTACATTGCCCCAAGAATGAATTACTGACTCTGTGGGGTCGAGACACCGGTATCACTAGCTTGTGTTTGTTCCTAGTATTTACAGGATGTATATTACTTTTTTTTACTAAAAATATCTTTGTTTTTGTGAAAATACATTAAATTTTCGTAAATATACTGAGAGGCTAAAGTTAATGTATTTATTTCTTAAATTTTTTCTCTAACTCTCTCGGTTTAAGGTTGTAAATTGCTCTTGTGGCCCTCTTCTGCAAAACAAAAATAGTTTCTAAATCAGCCGCATTTCCCCATAGCATAATCCCATAAGACATTATGCTATGGAAATAACTGAAAATAAACTGAAATAAACTAATCTAGCTGTCTCGACACTAGTGAGATCTCTAATCTTTTTTACAGCATAAGCTCCAGAGTCTGCATGCTAGTTTGGATATATGGGGTCCCCACTGAAGCTTTGTATCGAGAGTGATGCCAAGAAAATCAGAGGATGCAATAGGGCGCAGTTCTTCCCCATTTATGTATTTTATAGATGTTTACAGTTTTAGAATATTAAATTTAATTATGTAGTTTACTCGCATTAGGATGAACAATTTTATCAAAAAAAAAAAATATTAGGGAAACGAGCATGGCTGTGCATTTGAATTAACGTTACGTAGTAACTCATATAACTATAACAGTAGTTCACTATTATAGATATTGTATTTTTCGAAAACGGCACTTAAAATTAGTAAGTTATGTATTTTAAAACACGCTCGCATTAACCACATGTATTGTCCAGTGAACTTAGTGGAGTGTGCTGGCACAATGTCGTGCTACCCCTGCACCATGAGGCCCCTGCAGTTGCTGTGCTCAAGTACATTCGTTTCACAACTGTCAGACTCTGTTTAAACTGTGGTATTACTCTATGGAAATCCACTAAGAGGATATATCTGGGCTGCGAAAATTCATGAATCTGTTTTTCTATAAAATTGAAGTGATAAACGAATGTACAGTCCACCTGATGGTATGTGGCTACTATAGCCCACGGTTACTTGCAACAGACGTTAAATAAGGGAATGACTAAGATGGAATGGCTCCATGAAGCAAATACAAAGAGTAGATGTTGTAATTAAATTTCACTATTTAACAACGCGTGACAATTTGCGGGGTGAGGGGATGCAAAGCCCCACCCACTTTACATTATCTACATCTACCGATAAATAGTACAACTACTTGAATCTTTCCATATCGATGTTGCAATGTAGCTTAGCTACCTTGACGGTAGATGGCGGCATGTCCACAAAAAGTTATAAACTATAAAAATAATATTTTGGCGATTAAAATTTTTTTATGTCTGAATGCAAAACAAATTTCAGCACCTTCGTATGATTATTTTATCATTACCGAGCTCTACGTACCTTTATATTTTTAGTTCACAGGACACAAAGTGTCGCCATCTAGTGTGGAATATATTTAACTATATTTGAAAGCCGACGTAAAGAGATTTTTCTAGAACTATTTTAATAAATTAGGTGTAAAATTACTTACAAATGAAATGTGATGCCATTCATAGCATCGGAGCGTCTATCTGAGTAGTTTTTACACGATAAAACACAACACTTCATCCTTTTCTTCTTAATACTACGAAAATACACCGATTTGCGATTTTGTCAACACATAAGCGCAAAAGACGAATGCTGACAGTATACTAACTAAAGCCACGCCCACTATGATGACGTCAGGACCTACTTAGAATCACAGTGCACAGTTGCTTATGCCGTCTCCCCTTTGTATTAGCTTCATGAATGGCTCACAGCCTTTAATTATAACCCTTCAAACCGGAATACTGTGCAGGCATAGGGAGAAAACAGAAGTTTATGTTTTGTACGGACTAAACGCCGTCCGCTATGTATAATAAGGCTATGTACAGTAAGCAAATATTTTCGTATAATAATTTAAGAATTTTCATTATACATATATTACATATTTGGAATTGGTAAAAATTTAAACAAGCACTGCTTGCTTGTTACGTTTGAAGACTAGTTCTAGATAATTTTAAATTTGCTATAAGAAACTATAAATTGAATATTTATATAAACTATTATTGAATAATGGCTCACTTCACCATTATACTTTGTCTCGGTTTTACTGGATACTGGTTTAAACAGCATTTAATTGTTCCTACAGCAGACCGTAAGTGTTAATACGAGTTGCAATAAACACAAAATTATAACTACTTACATTCACATGCATGCAAGCCAGGCAGAGTTTATTATAATTTATTCAATATTGTAAAAAACTAAGCATAATTAAAGATTTAATTCTTGCAGAAGTATCTTCCCCGTTAGAGGGCGTAGATGGTCCAGTAATACCACCGCCACTGCCACCGCTGGCTTTCTTGCCCCCACCGTTGCTACCACCGTTGCCACGACCACCGCCACTGGGGAGACTGCCTTCACCCCACCCACCTAGGTAATATTGTAAACAGTTATTTTTTATTATATGAAAGCAAATTGAAAATATGCCACATATTTGGGAGCGTGTGCGAGAGAGACGGAGCGTGCGTGTGTCGCCAGGTCGGATGGTGCGCACGCAACGCGTCCTCGGGCGATTACAGAAATAAATAAAATACAGAATTGTTTTTCTTTAAAGTTATGAATTACCTAGCGACAAGTTAAAAGAATATGTTATTACATCCCAAGATATATCAATAATGTTTCTTTTATAGCCTGATCAGGAAAATAAAATCCTACCAGATCTAGACTTCATTTTAAAATGAATTGATACAGATAATATTTATTACTTGTGATGGAGGACTTCATAGATCATTTCTATTGCAAGTGATTTAACTGGTCAAAGTTAAAAAAAAAATTGTTTTGTAAATTATTTTCTTAGACCTTGGGTTTTTTTTCGTACGTGTTTTTTAGTCGTAGTTGTGTATTTTTAAGGTTCCGTACCTCAAGAGGTAAAAATGGAACCTTATAGGTTCACTTTTAGAAACTGGTATCAAGTTGAAATTAATATATAAAATACTAAGTTCCACATTCCCTTAGAAATGTATAAAATTCAAGTTTTTAAGTCAACGCAATCATAAGATACGGCTATATATGTCACATATTTTGATACTCACAAAGTCACCAAATAAAACCTTCTTCCTTGGTACTGCCTGTTGACCTAGAATCATGAAATTTAGAAAGGATAAAGGTCTCATAGCACAAGGTACGAAAAAAATCTGGAAATTATATTTTTAGTTAAATCACGTAAAAATTTTTTACGTTTACAGACACATTGGAGCACCGATCTTTTGTTATAGAGTAAGGGTGATAAACGAGCACACATTCCACCTGATGGTAAGTGGATGCTGTGACCCACAGACACCTACATCTATCCTCGATCTAGAATAAAAATGCAGATGCGGTCTGCGGTTCTGTACACTCATCATACGAACACAGAATTTTAAGCTGTTATTTTACGCTAGTTTTTTTTCTGAGAGCATAGTCCTTCACTGGTCGAGTCGAACCATTTGTGCTTTAACCATAATATAGCTGCAGCATGAGGACATGTATTTTTCTGTAAAAGCTCAGTTTGTCCTTTAGTTTCTACTTACCTTTTTGATATAGCAATATGTTCTGATATGCTTATTTCACCTTTAATCTCAGAGATGAACTAACATTAAGTATACATAACTGAGTTTGTACAGAATCTTCAGAGCGCGAGTTCTACTCGGAATTGTTTGATTTTTAGTGTGTTCTATACTAAAATATAACATGTAATTTCAAGGTATAGCGACCGACGCTATTCGCCGGAGAGTCGCTATTCGCCAGAGAGTAGGTACTCGCCGGAGAGCCGCTACTCGCCGGAAACGGTGCGATACACGCCGGATAGCCGCTACTCACCGCGCAGTCGTCGTTCTCCGTACTCGCCGCGTTCCAGGAGACGATCGAGAGAGAGGTAACTTATTTAAGGTTTTATTTTTCATATAAACTAATTTACAGCTTCTTACCTATTTTTCCTTTAAACCTGTTTAAAATATAATTTAGTGTTATAAGGTGCCCAAATTTGTGCAGTTTATTACTCTATATCTCACAATAACATCTCCGTCCTCCTCTTCATGAAGTTCAATTGTTTGTATCTAAACATAATTTTATATAAAATCTTTTACAAAAATTTACTTCGCTAATATCCGCGTTATAAAATAAAATGATGTGTCTTACCTAGTATGAAGAGCACCTCCCGCCCTCCCTCAATTGCGTGCACTATCCCCGTCACCACTAATCCCAGCACCGCTACTCCCAACACCACTACACTAGGCAAGACACACCACTGACGATAATACGACACGTGTGTCGCCTCTACACGAGGCATTCTCAGGTGATATAGACTCTACGGTGGCTAACCGCTAACTTAGCGGTTAGCCACCGTAGAGTCTAATCACCTGAGGATAGTGCACGCAATTGAGGGAGGGCGGGAGGTGCTCTTCATACTAGGTAAGACACATCATTTTATTTTATAACGCGGATATTTGCGAAGTAAATTTTTGTAAAAGCTTTTGTATCTAAACATCTAAAGTATCAAACCCTCTAAGAGTGTTCACTTCGAATTTTGTGAAAAGTGGTTGATCAAAATATAGTCGTGCTATATATTTTTTTTAAAACTGAAGTGACAAACGAACTACTCCAACTGATGATAAGTGTCTTCTGCAATCCATGGACACCTGTAGCCAACTTCATACAATAAGGCTACGTTGGCTGGGGCACCCCTAATAATGTAATTATTGAAGAATAACAAAATGTAGATAGCCTGAACTTGTAAATTTTTTACTTTACACCAATGTAAATAGATGTACAAATAAAAACAGGACGTTGGGCAAACCTGTTTCCAGTCATTATGATGACAGAGCACGTTTTCGTTTTAGGTATACGGAAGGGCGTGGATCCCGCACACGTAACGGACCGCCCGACACCGAGACAGAGTATAACTCGGATAGCCCTACCCGACAGCCGCGCCGCCGCTCTAGATACTCCAGGCACTCAGGTATATTTTATATTCAATTAAAAACATTTTTTTTAAATGTCAGCCATGCTTCCACCTGTACACGCCGTTTAACAGACAATGCTCTAAAGTTTAGATTGTAAGGGTTTTCGAATCGGTTTAGAATCTAAACTAATCCGAAAATCCGTCCAAAATTTTAAGCCCACGTTCAACAGGCTGGTGAAGAGGAGCAGTACTATCAGTGCAAGGGTATCTGTTCTGCTCTCACAAAACTACAACCTGCGCCATAAGTGTAGGCAACTCTAATGACGGCTATACACTCTCGGTGAGACGCCCCGAAACAGGCCAAAAGCGAGAATGTATTAGATGGAACCGTTTTATTCGCCTTGGTGTGTCAAAGGGTTTCGCGACGATTGCGAATGTGTTACTGTACACTCTCAAGCTCTGCAACCGTGATCACTAAATACTACATACCGATGTACATTCGATGTATCGTAATCAGCCACAATCTCCGTTCACGATTTTTTCTTTTGGTATTATATATGTAGACCAAAAGTAGCATTGACTTTTGATTTTTTTTATAGGATAGTGTGACAAACGAACACACAGTCCACCTGATGGTAAGTGGCTGCTGTAGCCCATAGAAATCTACATTTATCCTCGTTTGCGAATCAAAATGCAGATGCGTTGTCACCCGTGAGGACTAAGATGGAATGCCTCTTTTCCAGTAAAAACTACTAATATAGCTGCAGCATGGCTCTACCACGTATAAAATTATAACGATATTCGTTCATCTCCTCGAACTTCACGAGTACTACTGATTTATGTGAAAGTTTATATGGTCATACTCGAGTATACAACCGCCATTGAGAAATGCATGCCTAATGGACCATTCTAAAGATTGACTGATGAAGATGAAATTATCTGTGTTGGAACAGATTTTGGTGTAATTGACAACGTTACATCCTAACAAAGGCTATATAGAATGAAACTACATAATTTTACAGATTCCATCGCGTTTAATTTTAACTTTTTAATTGCTGACGGTTAGTTGGACTAAAGGTGGTCTAAAATGCAGTTACTTTGTCAGATGGTAAAATTGTGAAAGTTTCGTCGAGTTTCACTTGTAGAACTTAACTCCATATACTCTACAAGTGGTAAAATTAAAATTTTTATACAACAGACTTCAATATAGTAAATAATTTATTGTTGATTTTTTTAAACCGCTCGACCGATATCGATAAAATTTAAATGGGACCACATGGGAAGCACCCTTTGAAACAAAAAAAGAATATTCCAAATCGGTTCAGGCGTATTAGAGTAATCGGTGAACATACATAGAATAGAATAAAATACAATAATTTTTTATTCAATATAGATCACGTGTAATTCTTATTGAAAGTCATTTTTTTACTTTACCACTGGTTCGAAAAAAAACCTCTGTCCTGGGAAGAACCAGCAAGAAACCCAGCGGGACTTTTTTAAAAAAAGCATATTTTACATTAATGGTTGGCAGATACAAAATTTATTTTAGAAACAACTTGGAAGCGATCACCTCATTCCCAGGGGTTATTATCAATCATGTATTCATTTCTACTATAATAACCCTTTTTATACAGTTTCAACTTACAAAACATTTAAACTTGGTAATAGAGAGAGCCTTTACACTTTCCGGGGCCTTGTTGTAATAGCGTATACATTGCCCCAAGAATGAATTACTGACTCTGTGGAGTCGAGAAACTGGTATCACTAACTTGTGTTTGTTCCTATTGTTTACAGAATGTACATCACTTTTTTTACTAAAACTTACTTTTGTTTATGTGAACATACATTAAATTTTCGTAAATATACTGATAGGCCAAAGTTAATATATTTATTTCTTTAAATTTATCTCTAAGAGACTCTCTCGGTTTTAGGTTGTAAATAGTTCTAGTGGCCTTCTTCTGTAAAACAAAAATAGTTTCTGAATCAGCCGCATTTCCCCATAGCAAAATCCCATAAGACTTTGCTATGGGGAATGCTTAATGCTTATGCTATGGAAATAACTGAAATAAACTAATCTAGCTGTCTCGACACTAGTGAGACCTCTAATCTTTTTTACAGCATAGGCTGAAGAACTTAGTCTGTTTGCTGCATAAAAAAAAGATTCCGACGAATTGAGAATCTCCTCCATTTTTGATGTCTTTTGAAAATACAATTCACAGTGGAGTTAGAGGCAAATAATTCTTGAGCTTTTCTAGATGTTTTAGTAATCCGAAATCTTGATAACACTATTGGTCACACTGTGCATAGGAAAAAGACCCATAGGTACCAACGAATTTTTTAATGGTATTCACCATCATTCATCAAAATTACCGTGGAAAAATCTTTGTTTCAGAGAGCACAAGGGATCTGTAACAGAGAACATCTGGCCCGAATCGTCGGGAATTTAAAAAGTTAAAATTAAACGCGATAAAATCCGTAAAATTAGTTTCGTTTAATGTGTAGTGTTCGAGTAAATATGAGAAATCATTATGCGTATATTGGTATACAGTTTCCTTTTAATTTGTTTCAAAAATATAAAAGCTGTGCCTAAGGTGCAAAACTTTGTTTAATTATATCAAAACATCCCATCTTAGGAAGGTATTTATGCAGCAGTTAAAACAACAGCAATAATAATTATAGATTTAGCGTAAATTCAGTACAAAAATTATTTTTAGTAATTTTTTTTTTATTACAGGTCCCAGTTCAGGATCAGGGTGCTCATCGGAATCGGATAAGTGAAACGAATTTAGTTGGTAGTAGTTATTCTGTATGATCTTTAAAAAGGCCAAAATATGTTGTTGGAGGAACAATTTTGTTGATTGGGATAAAGTTAAATAATGGTTAAATATTGAAAACATATTATTTTTTAAATTAGGCAGTATCAAGCAGTAACGATGTTGCAGTATCTTTTGTTATGGCTCATGAAAACCTTAGATTTATTATTTTCGTAATACAATATTATGTTTTAAAATTAGAACATAATTCCATCTCCTCTTAATACTCCTTGAAAACAATATCAAAACTCAAAAGTATTCTGATACTCTTACATTAAAGGGTTTTGTGTTCCTATTACCTTTTAACTTTTTTGCACATAATCTGTCTAACATAAAACATTTCTGTAACTTTTCGCGTTACCTATATCTAAACATAAAAGCATACGCCACCGTTTGGTAAGCCCTTTATTAGTTAATAAATTACATATACAGGGACAACAAAAACTTCTTTTAATTTCCTTTTCTTTTTCAAACTCTTAACTAATAACACCGTTGAAGAATATAGATTAATTTTATTTATTTGTACCTGATTTCTATTTCCCGCAGTTAAGTAATTATATTTATTGTAAATCTTTTATCTTTATCTTGCTTATTACATTATCAGTATGTTGTCGTTTGCGTAATGCCTTTGTAAGGCCATATTTGTATGTATTGATGTTGTATTAGTTTTCATATTCTTCATATTTTATATACGTTAGTTTAAAACAGAAACAAATCTGCGATATATGACGCAATAAAATTTTATCAAAGGTACTTATTCCAATTTCCAACTGCGACTGCTTAGGCTGCGTTTATAATTAATTTATTGAATAAATGCTTTATTGGTCGGTTGATGTATTATATAGATACGATTTTAAATAAATAATTTTACTCGATGACTTTATTTTTTAATAGTTTACATAACCATACACAATTTCAGATTTCTGTACTACTTATAATATGAATTTATTTTGAGTAAAAACGTATACATAATTACTATGGCACAACATTCCAAGGGACGTAGCTCTCTGGATCCAATGCAGGCAGCTGTAACAAAAAGTAGACAGTCAGAAAAGAATCGTATTAGTAATACAGAGCCTTACATTACGAGTAAAACGTTCCAACTTTTTTTTTACTATGTGTTGATTAATTTCATAATCATCATCGTCGTCTTCATTAATATTTTAGCGCTCCCAAAATTTAGTACTGATTAAAGGCCCTAATACTGCCGCTAATTGTTCTTGCTCTCAAGGACTGCCATTAATAAAGTTTCTGAGCTCCCAGCATCTTATAATTTGTTCTATGGCCTATAGTTTGTTCCAGCTTGAGTCTAAAATACAAAACCTCATGCTACGATCACCTACTTGCTGCTAAGGTAAATTAATACAAATCTTGTATTTATGTTTAAGTGGTTTTTTCACGGGAAGATGATGATGTTGATCTTTTTCTGATTACAATCACAGCCACAACTTCCGAACAACTCCACCCCAAGAGTTTTTGTTTTGCATTGTAGCTAATGTTTAAGTATATAATAATCTCCTCCAAACCGAATAACAATTATTTTAAAGGAGAGTAACCATCTACGCATGACATGATTATAGTGCCCAACAGATGCACTCTATCTCACACGACCGGAGAGAGATCAGGCGCATGACGTACGGCTTTACGTGCTATCTGGGTCACGGGGGTGAACCTCCTCTATTCTGTTCCGCAGTTCCTGACTTGGACTGCTACTGAGATTTCTTAACAGGAAAACCCAATAACCGATTTTGGCCCGAATCGAGATTCGAAGCCGGGACTTCATGATCAGCAACCTCGTTTACGGCCACTAGAGCAACAAGGCACTAACATATATTATTATGTATGTATATTTAATATAATATAATGGTAACTCAGAGCTAAGCAGCACGCACTCCTTAAATTTCACAGTTGGCGAGCAGTCCAAGCAAGATCCCCGTGGGGTGCTAAAGAACTTATCAATTGCAATTTAAAGTGTTGATTATGCCCACGTTCAGCGATAAAAAAATCATGGGGAGGAGACCTACATATCTGAGAAATAAATAAATATTTTAATAGCATTTGAATGTTGCCATTGTAACTAACTACTAATACTACTAACTAACTTATAACACCGTCGAAGAATGATTAATTTTAATCTACTCGTACCTGATTTATGTTTCCCTCGGTTAAGTATTATACATACATACATACATACATATAATCACGCCTCTTTCCCGTAGGGGTAGGCAGAGACCACTTCTTTCCACTTGCTACGATCCTTACATACTTGTTTTGCTTCGTCCACTTTCATTATTCCCTTCATACATGCTCTACGGTTTAGGGTACTCTTGACCTGGCCTTTTTTCAAGACGTCCCTGATTTGGTCTAGAAATGTCCGCCTAGGTCTACCCCTTCCAACACTTTCATTCACACTCGCCTTATACACTTTTTTCGTCAATCGTTCTTCATTCATTCTCTCGACATGGCCAAACCATCTCAGCATACCTTTCGCAATTTTTGTCACTACATCTTCTTTCAGACCACAACGTTTCCTTATCTCACTATTTCTTATCCTGTCACTCAGTTTAACTCCTATCATACTTCTTAATGCTCTCATCTCAACTGCATTTATTCTGCTTTCATGTTTCTTCTGCCATACCCAAGTTTCACTTCCGTACATGAGTGTCGGAACCAACACCCCCTCATGCACAGCCAAACGAGCCTTGTTAGACACCTTCCGACTGCTCATAAAGGAGTGCCAAGTCCATTCACCATGTTTCCTGCATTCACTCTTCTTTCGATATCACTCTCACACTTTCCATCTCTTGTAAACTTTGAACCCAGATACACAAACTCTTTCACCTTTTCGATTTGTTCATCTTCAATCACTATATTGCAGTCTGTCACTGCCTCATCTTTTTCAAACACCATCACTTTCGTCTTCCTTACATTCATCTTCATTCCCTTTCTAAAAAAAGCTCCACTCATAGCAGTTACCATCTCCTGCAACTCCTCGGCCGAAGACGCAAGTAATACTTGGTCATCAGCATAGAGAAAACATTTGACGAGTAACTCATTAATTCTCAACCCACTTTCATTCTCTTTTAAATCTGTCAAACAATTGTCTATGAACAGATTAAACAGCCCCGGTGACGCTACACATCCCTGTCCTAACACCTTTTTCGATATTAAACTATTCAGTGTATGCCCCGTTTATCCTTACACAAGCACTAGAATCCCTATAAAGAGATTGCATTGCTCGTATGAGGATACTGCTCTCACACCGTTCACGGACAGTCCTGACCACAATTCATTCCTCACCACTCTATCATAGGCCTTTTCTAGATCTACGAACGCGCAGTAGACTTTCTTATTTTTAGCCAAACACTTTTCGGCTATGCACCGCAAGGAAAAGACCTGATCCGTACATCCCATTCCCTTTCTAAATCCCGCTTGTGCATCCCATACTTTCTCGTCTGTTTCATTCACAACCCTTTCAATCAACACTTTCGCATACAATTTACCGACGACGCTGAGAAGGCTTATACCACGGTAATTTATGCAGTCCTGCCGTGACCCTTTTCCCTTATGCAATGGCACGATTACGGCTTTGCACCAGTCTCCCGGTACTTGCCCATTTCGCCAGCACAGATTGAAAAGTAGTTAAGTATTATATTTATTGTAAATCTTTTTATCTTATCTTGCTTATTACATTATCAGTATGTTATCCAAATTGCAATACAACATATTAATGTTACCATAATCGTGTAATGGCAGGTGGATTGGCACAGTGGTACAACCACGCGGCAGCTTTTGCTGTTGCACGTATGGGCCGGCTCGAACTAGGGAGGTACCACGACCTCACAGAATACCAGAATGAAGTATAAGCTTTGCTTCTGCATTTCATCTGGTGAGTACAGGTGGCCGGATGCACAACCCCCTGCCCCTCCCCTCCACCCATCAACATGGTAGCGGATTTAAGATTTCATTGAGATACTACGCCAGGAGGTTACCAGCACCTCTGGTAATGGAGAATCCCTTGCTGAGCACGCCACTCCTGAGCGTAGGTGCTCAGACTGCCCCGCCTATCTGGGGGTGAGGGGAAGCAAGCTGAGCAACAAGACCAAGGCAACCCCTGCCAGACTATCCGTGAATTTCTGCACCTTCACTCGAACCTAAACGCCGTCCACTACCATCTGGAGACGGCGAAGCTGGCCTTGCTCTTTCTGTTCGAGACGCAAGTGTCTTCGTATCTCTCCTACCCGGGGTACAACCTGTTCTCGACGCGTCGAAGACTTCTTGAAGGTTCGGACCTGTCCATCCTTTTGGCTACGCGTAGACAACTACGACCATCCGCGCGTGCCTCTATAGGTCCCGTAGCGGTAATGCCGGCACAAACCGACTCATCGATCACGTCCAAATTGTTACAGATTCCTTGCTACAGCAGATCCCATCCGCAGAGATCGTGATCCTTGGCGATTTTAACGCCCTCCACGTCGAATAACTCGGTTCACGTTTAACCGTTCATGCGGGGAAACCTGTTTATGATTTTGCCTTGGCATATGGTCTGAAACAACTGGTTTCTTCGCCTACGCAGATTCCAATTGTAGAGGATCATGCACATTCCCGGCTGGAACAGAAGTGCAGAAGCAGACCTCTCATCCACCCGGGTATCAGGTCTCTGTCGACGCCCCTCTTGGTTCCTTGGACCATTGTCTAGTCCGGATTGTGGTGGCACTCACACGTTAACATCGCGGTTGCATTCTGCAGGCTGCCGCCGTGTTTGGCACTGTAGGTTGGCTGATTGGGATAGGATGCGGTCTTTTTTGCATCCTACCCGTTGTTGCTGATTCTGTCACTGATGTGGTACTTCAGTGTATGGAACTTTTTATTCCATCTTCTAGTGCCCATCGGTGGCATATCCCAGCCATAGATTAGTCGCTCCTGTAAAATAGCATCACGCTATAAGCAAGAGTGCTACCGGCCCTGGGCTGACGCATCAACGTCCCGGGATGTAAACACCAGCGGTCTCAAAAAGAAGTATAATTCCGCCTCCAGGTCCTTCAAAAGAGTCATTGCCAAGGCAAGGACTGAGCACATCGGCAGAATTGGCGAGAAACTATTTCGCCTTCCTTGGGGAACCCGTGCAGTCTGATCTCTCGCCAAAGCTGTCCAAGGGAACTTTTGTCATCTCTCCCACCTCTGCACAAGGAAGACGACTCACTGGCCCATGCCACTATGGAAATAGTCGATCTGTTAGGTTCTCTTTGCGTCCAACTTGACTTTCAATGACAGGGGGAACCCACCGTCGATCATCCCGCGGTGTGAGTACTATATGCCGGATGTGCGATTTTCACAGCGCTCAGTTTTCAAAGCACTTCTCTACTTGTACGTCAACAAGTCGAGTGGGCCTGATGGAGTCTCTCCCATTGTGCTGAAGACGTGTGCTCCCGAGTTGGTACCAATTTTAAAGCATCTTTTCCGGTACTCTTACTTTTCTCTGATCAACCCGATCCCTAAAAAGGCGACCGTCCAGACCCGTTCAACTACAGGCCCATCACCACCTTCTTGTTCTCCTTGATCTTCTGGTCTACCTGACTCGCAGATAGGCGGAGGCAGTAGAATCAAAGGGGGAGGCATTGGCCGTTACACCGACCGTGCCAATATTTCTTTAACAAACATGTGTCTCAAGTCGATTAGTTGTTAAACAAAGTCGGATTGGGTACGACTAAATCTAGTCCAGTTTAACCCTTAGAAGACACAGGTTGGCGTGTTTACCGCTAAAAAGAACCCCTTTGTCATATCTCTTCAATTTCAGAGCACTCACCTTGCTGCCGCAGCTAGCGTCGGAATTCTCGGCGTCAACATATCGATTGATGTGCAGTTTCGTGGTCACTTGGAAGGGAAGGTTAAATTGGCCTCTAAAAAGCTTGGCGTGCTCAGCACAGCGAGACAGTATTTCATGCTGGCTTGCAACTTTACAAGGCTCTCTCAAATTTCGGCCTCACATGGAATACTGTTCTCATTTCTGGGCCGGAGCACCCCAGTGCCAGCTCTTTCCACTTGACCGCATCCAGCGCAGAGCAGACCGAGTTCTTTCTGATCGGCTTGATTCACTGACGCTGCGAAGGGACGTTGCATCCCTTTGCATTTTCTACCGCATCTACCACGGGGAGTGCTCTGAGAAATCGTTCGGATTAATCCCAGCCGCCAAAATTAACGAACGCACATCGCGCCGAAACTCACGATACCATCCACATCGTCTGGATGCTTGGCGGTCCACCACTGCGTTTTAATTGGAGTTTTCTTCCTCTCACTACCTATTTGTGGAATCGTTTACCATCGGCTGTTTTTCCGAACCGACACGACTTAGGAACCTTCAAGAAAAGAGCTTACTCCGTGCTAAAAGGCCGGCAATGCACCTGCAATTCTCCTAGTGCTGCAGTTGTTCATGGACGGTGGTAGTCACTTACCATCAAGTGAGCCGCATGCTCGTTTGCCCCCTCTTCTATAAAAAAATCACAGTATCAGATTTCGTATACTTTTGACGTTGCTCCTCGCTGTCAGTCGCACTATTTCTAGCTTCCCCATAGTCGCCTCTTACGACACCCACGGGACGAAATGGGGATATATATTTTTTTAAGTGCCTACACCACATGTGTACAATACAATTACTTTATACCTATGTGTTAATCCTGCTTAAATATACCCTTTTTATTGCAATTATATCAGTAATAAATATATTTTAACCTTCTTTGTGATATGGTCTTCACACGCCATTCGTATCCGAGCAGAAGTAGCTGGTGCATCTAGTCTAAAGTCCAAAGGCACGCCGGCATCAGCGCGAGCCGCTTTTATAGCTTCTTTTATCGCGAAGAAAGCGGAACTTGCCAAGAACAGGGGAGGTTCACCCACAGCCTGAAAAAATAAAGTAACTTTTTTTTACGTTTAATGGCCATTTACGACTTCGATTTTTGTGAGATTTTGATAAAAATAATTCGTTTTATTTTTGGTAAATTTAATTTTTATCATAATAAAACACGACTACTACACACGCATGAAATCAAACTAATTTGACGGGCTTAAACCGAATGTTTAATTTCAAATCATATGCATTACATTATAATGTTGACTCACAGAAGATGGAGTACCAGTACGACCTGGTAAGACATGCAGGAAAATAATGGATGCAGGTTGCTCAAAACCGTGTTTTGTAGCATTCCTTGAGGGAGACCTATGTACAGCAGTGGACTTAAGAAAATTACAGACTGTAATGATAATAATGATAATGGTGATGATGATGATGGTGGTGATGATAATGCTATCGCGATCATTTCTTAACTATTTTAAATCAACTTTAAATTACATGACAAGGATTTTTAACATTACAGTCCCCCTGACTATGTGTGAAAAAGTAAAAATTTATAGTTTTATTTAATCTAATTTTTCTCTTCTATAGTAATATAGGTACATTAAAAATACCTTAAACTCACCTTGGATGAAAATACTGCCCTTGGATTTGGAGCACCTTTGAGCAACGAAACGTTAAACTCTTGCGGAATATCACCGAAGCCTGGAATTTTATATGCGCCTGGTCCACGAGAGTACAATGTCCCCGTTGGTGAGTAAATCAGTTCTTCCATTGTAAATAAACCGTACCCTTGTATAAAGGCACCTTCAATTTGTCCAATGTCGATGGCAGGATTTAAACTTTCGCCTAAATCCATGACAATATCTGTTCTAATGATTTGATGGTCACCGCTAAGACAGTCAATCTCGACTTCTGTACAGGCTACGCCATAAGTAAAATAGTTGAAAGGTGTACCCGTATTAGTTTTAAAATCGTAACCAATGTTGGGTGTTGCGTAAAACCCTGTAGCTGATAAACTGACTCTGTCCACGTAAGCTGCTGAAATCCAGTCTTCCCATTTACCGTTTGGATTTTTGTCTTTGTAAGGTTGGAGCCGTTTCAACAGCTTCTGACAGGCTTCTAATACCGCCATTCCATTCAGATCTGATCCAGCACTAGCCGCTGTAGCAGATGTATTTGGAACTTTGTCTGTAGATGTTTCGGTAATGTGGATTTTGGACACGTCTATCCCTAGGACCCTTGATGCCACTTGGATCATCTTCGTGTGCAAGCCCTGGCCCATTTCTGTACCACCATGCGACAGAAGGACTGATCCGTCAACATATACAATGAGTAGAGCACCGGCTTGATTCAATAGTTTCTCAGTGAACGCAATGCCGAACTTAGTTGGTATTATGGATATACCGCGTTTTCGCCAGCGGTGCTGTCTATAAAGAGAAAACCCTTTTTTTTAAACAAAATATAAAAAATAAATAAGTCTCCGTGTATAATAAAATCTCAGTGTATTTCATGTCGTATTTTATACGTGGTAGAGCCATGCTGCAGCTATATTCGTATACGTGGTAGAACCATGCTGCAGCTTTATTCGTAGTTGTAGCACGAATGCGTCGGCTCGACCGGGGAAGGACCACGCTCTCATAGAATACCAGCGTAAAATAGCAGCTTACCACTGATGTGTTTCGTATGGTGAGTGTAGAGAACCGTAGACCCTTTTTACTGGAAAAGAGGCATTCTATCTTAGTTCTCACGAGTGACAACGCATCTGCATTTTGATTCGCAAACGAGGATAGATGTAGATGTCTATGGGCCTCAGCAACCACTTACCATCAGGTAGACTGTGTGCTCGTTTGTCAAACTATCCTATAAAAGAAAAAGATTCTTCTTAACTAGTCCCTAAAAAATCCACAGCTGACAAACAATAATAAAAAAATCCTCCTAGCTTAGAAAAAGCCTATTTCGGCCATATAGCGACAAAACGATATAATGCGTGGTAGAGCCATGCTGCGGCTTTATTATAGTTATAGCACGAAAGGGTAGGCTCGACTAGGGAAGTACCACGCTCTCACAGAAAACCTGCGTAAAATAGCAGCTTAGTTACATGTTTCATATGGTGAGTGTTGAGAAACGGAGACCCTTTTTTGTTGGAAACGAGGCATTTTATCTTAGTCCTCAAGTGTGATAACGCATCTGCGTTTTGATTCTTTTTTGAGGATAGATGTAGATATCTAGGGGCCACAGCATCCACTTACCATCGGGTGGACTGTGTGCTTGTTCGTCACCTTCATTCCATAAAAAAAAATGATGGAAGTAAAAAATATAATATATAACATCAAAATACTTCATGTAAACAAGTGGTAAAATTAAAAATTTTGTACAACCGACTTCAATATAAATTAAATGAGAACATCATCCATGTATGTAGTCGAAGTCAATTAATTTTTTTTTAAAAAAAACGTTGCCCCCACAGTAGAATTTTCTCCTGTATCGTGGAGACAGTTTACAAACATAAATTGCACGAGGACAAACATCCAGATCCGGAACAATTATTTGTAGGCCATACAAATATCTTGTTCCGTACGGGATTCGACCCCGCGGCCCCAGCGCAACAACTTATTGCTAAGCCACTGCGCCACGGAGCCGTTCCACGCTTTATTTAGGAATAACTCAAAAACTACTGGTCAGATCTCGATCAAGTTTATATGGGTTCACATGAGAAGCACCAGCTTTCAAATAAAATCGATCGATCAAAAAGAATCATCAAAATCGGTTCACCTAGAAAAAAGGTCTGAGGTGAAACACATAAAAATAATGCAGTCGAATTGCGAACCTCCTCCTTTTTTGTAGTTTGGTTGAAATATTAGTAGTCCTGTGACCTTTTGCTCTTAGAATCTTATCTTGTCTGATCTAATGTAAAGGATATTCTTACAGTTGAATATGTATGTTTAAAGCTTATTATTTTTAATATAGTAAATCTAATATAAACGGATCACTAGTGAGAAATACATATCGTATTTCTCACTAGCGATCCGCCTCGGTTTCGCACGGTTGATTTCTGGATCTCGATAACAACGCCACCTACCGGTTCAAATTGTGAATCTAAATCATTCTCTAATCAACTTAATCACTCACAAAATTTCATCATAATCGGTCCAGCCGTTTAGGAGGAGTTCAGTCACATACATACGGACAGAAGAATTATATAATATATTATATGCATATATTGTAGATATAAACCTTCCTCTTGAATCATTCTGTCTATTGATGAAAACCACATCAAAATCCGTTGCGTGGTTTAAAAGATCTAAGCGTACAGATGGCGAGAGACTTTGTTTTATAATATTATGTTGATATGTTTTTCGGATAAGTTATTGTCTATATCCCTCCTGTCATGGCGCTTTATCTAAACGTAAAGTTATATGTGTCATATTAGCATGCAAATAACACCCTGAGCTTAATAGAAGCCACTTATTTCCACATCACAGTCAGACATTTCAATTTTATTTATATGTATAGATTATCAAGAACTACTTATTTTTATTTAATTAATTCACATTATAATCTACTAATAGCAGAACATGTTTTAAATCTGTAATAAAAAATGTGTAATAAATTTTACTGAATAGTTTAAACATATAGAACATAATATCTCCGATGTTAAATTACCGATTTTATCTTTATCTCTTTAATCTAAAGAGTGTGCTTTGACAGTGATGGATAATTTTACTTTCGTTAGCACCTTTTAATTATCCTATAACGTCAGAACTTTTTGGGCTTTTACAATAAAGCAAAAGATATTTCAATAAATTAATTAAAATTTAATAATTTGAATTCATCACCCTAAAAGGTTTACAAAGGCCGCACTGAATACCTTTTGGCATTGTCCCCCAGTCAATTCAGGGCGTGGTTATATTGGCAGGCTCAAAGACGATAAAACATTAGCGAAGAAATTCCTCGCTACATCGAGTGAGGCCCTTGTCCAACATTAGACATTTACGGGGTGATGAAGCAAAAAAAGAAGAATCAACATAATGATAATAATTATAACATGATATTTTTGAACAAAGTCCTGGTTCAACAACCAAGATTCCAAGGAAAGATTACATTGATTTCCCTAACATGATACGAGATACTGAATAGCAGCATATCACTACCGGGTTGTTTTGAATTATTTATGTTTTGCTAACTAATATATGAATTTATATTCAATTTAAAAATTCGCGCTTCGGTCGAGGCGACCCATTCGTTCTGCAGCTATGTACAGCTAGCATAACTTCAGCTTGGCTCCACCACGTAAATCAATCACACAAATTATGGCTACTTAATATTTTAATCCACCTAGTTCTATTTTACCTAGTGTCTGAATATGGCGATGGTAGATTACGCTTATATTATATAAGTAATTGTTCGTACCATTTTATTATTTTTAAAACCTCAGACACTTGACAGTGCATACTGATTTATTAATTATAGTTTTCCTTACCTGTTAAAGTTTTCGATGGATTGTTTTCTTTCTGCATAATTGCTCTTTTCCACGCATTCGTCCCAACATCTTTGCAGCGTACAATGTGTAAGAACTTGTCCATAATGAGTTGTAAAGTTCTCCTGATATAAATTAAGTTTACTAATTTCTTCGGGACTCTTATCCAACTTTTGGGCTATGTCTCTTATCATTGTTTCAGCACCAAACATTCCTTGTGGTCCACCAAAGCCTCTGAACGCTGTGTTCGAAGGGAGGTTAGTTTTACAAACATAACCAGTAACTTCTACATTTGGAATATAGTAGGCGTTTTCGAAGTGGAACATCGCCCGTTCTACTACCTACAAAAATATAGATTATTCTGATAATATTTACCAATCGAATTTACTAAAATAAATGTGCATACAAACAGTCATCGTTAACAGTACTTACAGGTCCGGATAAGTCAATCGAATATCCAGCGTTATTGTAAATATTAACAACAGCACCTATTAGTTTGCCTTCTTTGGTGGCTGCTACTTTATATTTAATTAAGAATGGATGCCTTGTCCCTGTCATTTGCATATCTTCATCTCGATCTAACATGCAGCGTACTGGTCTATTAAGCTTATGAGCTGCAAATGCCACAGGCAGAGATACCAAAATGCCTCTAGACTCCTTACCACCGAACCCACCACCCATACGCTTTACTCGTGCCACAATTCTGTTCATGGGGACATGTAAAACATGACTTGTTAATTTCTGAAAAGATATTATTTATTTAAAACGATGAAAAGCATACTTTAGAAATATAAAATAAAGATTTATGTAGTTTTATTAAAATATTGGTTCCTACCGCAACTTCCGATGGATGTTGGCTAGAACAAAATATCTCCATTTCATCGTCTTCTTTTTTAGGTATAGCGAATGCGGCATGTGTCTCCAAGTAAAAATGTTCTTGCCCTCCTATTCTACACTGTCCCTCTACAATTATGTGATTTGGATCTTCAAAAGCCGATTTCACATCACCTCTTCGTATAGTTTTTGGGAATTGTTTGTAAAATGAATTATGTTTAATAGCATCTTCTATAGTAACAATAACAGGTTGTAATTCTTCGTATTCAATCCGCACTTTTCTAGCAGCAGCTTGAGCAGTTGCTTGATCTTTAGCCACTATTACGCCAATTGTCTGCCCTTGACTTATTACTTTATCGCTAGCAAATAATTCTTCATCGTGGAATATGGGGCCTATTGCATTTTGCTCTGGCGTTAAGTCTTTAGCTGAGAAAAATGCAACAACACCTGGTTCTTGTAACGCTTTTTGGGGATCTACTGAAACTAATTTAGCGTGTGCTTTTGTGCTGAGAACAAAAGCTAAATATAACTCTCCTTCTACGGAAGGCATGTCGTCACAATAAATAGCTTCACCTGTTACCTGTTTCAATGCCGACATATGCGGTATTGGTCTTCCAACTGCATCGCTTTGGAGTTGTTTGTCATTGACTAATTCGAAATATTGAGCACTCTTTGGTACTTTACCGTGAAATTGTTCAGCACCGCTACTATGGTATGGTATAATGATATCCTTATGTAAATAATCTTGTGACATTTCTTTACCTATTGCTAAATAGGCTTTTAAAAATAAACTCATTGTCAACGCCCGTCGAAATAAAATGTTACCACCAGGTGCTGATGGATTTAAGGGCAACTCTTCTAGAAGATATGTGTAAGCTTTTTCAAGCATTACGTCATCCCATTTTAATCCTAATAAACATTGACTAGATTTTGTTGCTATTTTTGTGACTGGAGCCATGCCGCCGTATGCGATATTCATGTTCTTTATAATGTCAGTATTTTCTTCGAACTCCACATTTATAGCTGCTGTAACAATGGAAATATCATCCTCTCTGCGCTTAGCTTGTTTATAGGCCTTTACGTATTGATATCTAGTAGTAAAAGGAATTTCGATAGATAGCAATATTTCATTTGGGTGTACAACATTTTTACGATACCCAGTAAAAAATGTTTCATCCATTAGAACTGAGCGATGTCCTCCTTGTTTACTAAGAAGATTTAGTTTCACTTTCATTGACATTAATATTGGATTCAAATCTGATATTGGACTTCCAGTCATAATGTTCCCACCAATAGCAGCTACATTTCGTATTTGCTTGCCGGCAAACCAATATAACATGTCTTTAATAGTTACCAAAGACCTTGTTTTATATTGAGGCAACGTATTAATGCATTTTATACACGTATTTTCTAACTCCATAAGAGTCACCGCCGATCCTACGACTAATCCTGTTTTATTTTCTACTATAGTATTCATTTCTGTTATACAATTTGGCATTATTATCACAGGGTAAACGAAATGTTTGAATTTAACTTCAACGCCCACCTCAGTATTTCCGACTACGATTTTTGCGTCAGGATATTGTTCTTTCAGGTTTAATAACGCTTCCAAGTCCGTCGGTCTGTACCACGTTGTATTTTTGCCTCTAAAAATTAAATTTTGTTCATCGTATACTGAACATAATTTTAATTCTGGAGGAAAAATGGGTTCCTGACTAGGGTCATACGGCGTGAATGCCGTTTTATCAAAGATAAACTTTGACTCACTCTTATCTTCAGGTGTATCAGTCTTATTCTTACAGCAATCCTTGCCCATTGCACATGCCCCATTCGCGTTTGAAGTCCCGTTATACACCCGTTGCGTTTCCCAATCCTCAATGAAGGTTTTATATCCTTCTATGATAGCGCGGTAACCGGTGCATCGACAAAGATTTCCTTGTAACGCCACTTCCATGTCGGAGTATTTTACTTTTTCACAACTTCTAAGTAAAGCATACATGGACATGACAATACCCGGTGTGCAAAACCCACATTGAGATCCGTGCGCTTTAGCAAGTCTTTCTTGAACGGCATGCAACCTTGTTTTCGTTGAACCAATTCCTTCAACCGTAGTTACAGCCAAACCATGCATAGCGCACACTGGTGCTAAGCATGCGTTAACTGCTAAATGACTGAAGACAAACTAAGGAAGTTAGTGCATTGTTATTGAAAGTTTAAATATTTGAGTAAGTAAGAGATAATTCTCTAATTAACGTAATTATGTGAGAATGATTTTAACTTAGATTACATAAAATGTATTAAATGACATTTTATATAATGTAAGGCTGTAATGATGAGCGTGGTCCGACCGGTCCGACCCCGGACGAGTCGACCCATTCGTGCTACAACGATAATATAAATACAGGTTGTGCGGCTCTTTCACGTATGAAAAGTTTTTTGTTTATATAAATATTGTACAGTTAACAAAATATTTTAAATAAAGGATACGCGACTTTCTTTTCTTTGCGATTGTATCTTGAGATCATAACCGTGCATGCCCCGCATCCTCCCTCTGCGCAGCCCAGCTTTGTTCCAGTTAGGTGCAGCTTTTTGCGAAGGTACCATAGTAGTGTCCATTGCGGATCCGGATGAGGTTCTATTACCTAAATATGTTATATATTAAGTATTTTAATTTTAAATAATACTTCCATACCTGACAAGAAATACAACAGATTTCAAAAACCGTGGAAGACGCGAATGTAAAATTACACAAAAGCTCACAATAATTTTCCCATATATTGCGGGGTAAGGGACATCGATCACTAATATAAAACTAGATACACAATCAGTGACAAAAAATGTCCTTACCAAATGAGCGCCCACTCGAACGTTTGGGTGCTCTTTTAATTTGTACGTAGCTTTGTGAATACAACTTTAGGCAATGCATTTAAGGTTGAATTTACATTAATATGTATATTTATTTCAACTAGAATTACGTTAAAACAATTGGCGACAGATTTTAGAGAACTTTTGCATGGGATTGTGTATCTAGTTTTTATAAGTGATCGATGGTAATAGATTATATTATGTAGTAGGTGTCGTAAGCTCGTAAGCAGGGACAGAGAAAAACTAAACGTAAGATGAACAGTAAGTAGCATTTGTTCAAAAAAAAAGTAGTGTATGTTCATGTGTATGTAGTCTACAGTATTAAATCTACAGCCAAGATCACTAGACGTGTTACTTATTCCCTGAACTTCTCAACCATATATCATCACAGCTGTCTGCCTGGGTCAGTCGCGGGTCGCGTTTAAAAAGATGTGCAAATCAAATTGAAGATTAAAATTAATAATAAGTAAATAAAATTGGATTTATATTATTTAAATAAATATGTCGTTCTGAACTTAAAAAAGACCAAGTGGCCATCACGCAAGACACTTCAGGAGGCTCAAGTTCTGTACTTTTAGAAGAAATTACAAACCATCTGTCTAAATAGCCATAATATGTCATCGTGCTGGTTATAATATGCACACTTTTGGGCTTGGCTCTTCTCTGGTATATACAAAATATACAAAAGGTGCCACACAAGCTGGACCCGGAATGAGGTGGTAATGCACAATTTGCGTCGCTCTTTTATGCGGTCACCAGATCCAGGACCTCGTGTGCCTAGTGTATGCTGTGATTGCCGCCTCGAGGAACGCCGGGCGATAACGAATGCGTCAATGTGAAGTGATAAGTGAAAATATGGGCATAAAATGGAAATTAAAAAATATTATAGTTTAATTTTAAGAAAATAATAAAATTGAAAATAGCCTTTTATACACCTTATAACATTTTAACTGTGTTTTCATGTCTAGAGAATTAAAAAATATATATGAAACATTTAAAAGTATTATTAAGTTATGCTAGGCTAACTGAAAATATTTTACAACAAAAACTTAGAGAATCGTTACAATTATACGTAATATATAAAGGAATTTGATAACTGTTTAATAATTTTAAGTAAAGAGATAGAAAGTAATCGAATTAATTAAAATACAATCATATTGCGATTTAATTAAAGATTTTTATATATATGTTAACGCCTAAGTACATAAATCAAGTGCAGATTAACTAGTTAATCTACAGATTACCTAAATCCGTGAAAATGCGAAAAAATATTCAGTTCTTAGTTTAACTGGTTAATCTGCAGTCTTCCTAGGTAATCTGCAGAATAACAACAGATTAACAGTAGGGTAAGGAGGGTAAGGGTTGACTGGTAGAGAATGCCTCAGGCATTAAGTTCGCCTATACATGATATTGTATGAAGTTTAAATAAATAAATAAGCCACGTACATTATAATGATATAAAATATTATATTGAAAAAATTTAACTTTATAATTTCATAAATTCGAAAATATAAGTCAAATGTACTTTTGTCTAATATTCTTGGTCAAAACTACTAATAACCACTTTTAAAATTAAAAAAAAAAAAAACAAAAACAGTCCGGTGGTAAAAGGCAAATATCATTAATAAAATATAGTAATTAAAGCTAATGTTTTTCCTAAAAAATAAAAAAATAGAAAGTTATAAATTTGCAATCCAATCAGCTCTCTGTCTTCTGCGATTTAACCGTGTAACATCTGTTAATATGCAAATTAACTAGGTAAAGTGCAGATATTTGTTACTATATATTCTGTGCTTTAAGTAAAATTTCTCACATTAGCGGATCGCACCCGATAATCTGCAGATTATCTAGCTAATGCGCACATAAACAAATTCGCATTCCAACGGTAACATACCTACATAATATATACATACAAAATAGAAAACGTTTGTAGGAAGGATTAAAGTTCTCAATCACCTTCGGAGGGCACTATTCAAAGCGAAGAATTTACCAAGGAAAGTTTCGACTTTAAAACAGCTGTGTCACTCTTTCCAGTGATAACGGGCGAGGAATCGGTCATCAAAACCTTGATGGACTCGATAGAGTTATATAGCTCTTCGCTCAAAGAAGAAGATAAGTATACGTTAATAAAATTGGTTTTAAGAACTCGTTTGAATGAAAGCGTTTAAATACGCCTATTATTCATGCGAGGCACTTTGAGTTGATATGCACAATTATCTTTTAAAAAAAAATCTAGCACTACCGTTCATAACGAACGAATGTAAATAAGGCATAATACGAGTAGTAGTTCCATAATTATGGCAATAAAATCGAACAATTATTCGTTGATTTGACGATTTCCCGAGCCGATGGTAACCAAAACGCGCATAAAATTTTACGTCCTATAAGAATAGAAAAAAATAGAATAGAAAAAACATTTATTCAGCACAGGCAGTTCATACACATGAAAGTAAAAGCACATATTGATATATATAAAAAAGGTCGCATTGTGCCGAAAAGGGGTTGGCTCAGCATGTGTTGTGTGAGTATGGCCTCACACAGCGCTGATTTTCAGCCAAGAAACCTATTCATTAGCGTCACGAACGTAGCACAGCTGTTACGTGTAGTTTAGTCCTTCGATAAAACGAAAAAAGCCTAAACCTTCTATATAATTATAACACAAAATTTAAAATAAAGCAAAAAGCAGCAAAAAAAAAAGAAGTACAATATAAGACATTAAATATAACCTTATACATAATTGTGTGTGGTAACAACAACTATCAATTATCAATTAAAATGGATTAGTAATAGTAATAATAAACAAAAATGAGAAAAATATACACACAATTTTGTTAATAACCGTACAATGCGTTATAGGAAGGAGCTTTCTCGGTTGATATTGCCATGTTGTATTTGTGCATCAATAAGAAATTTTTTTAGCTTGATTTTGAACTGGTGGAGATTTTTTAAACTCCTGATTGGAGGTGGAATATTATTCCAACATTTTGTAGCCGCATATCTAAAACTATAAATGAAAGGATTGCTATTATAAATTTCACAAATGGCTTGCGAAATGTACAACTCAGTACTATTTTGCCAGCACGTAATTATAGTACATTAAAAGAAACAATTAGATCAGCAAAGGATGAGGATGCGTCTTGTATTCGACGTGTTTCGAATCGAGGTGGTTCAGGTTCACGTAAAAATTTACGCGATAGGTACATAGGTACATAAAATAATGTACCACGGCCGACATCATACCCTTTGGCTACCCAAGCAAGAAATAACGTGAACTAGGGGAAACCGGTACCCCAACAGTTTTCGCGTGGAAATCGACAACACTGCGGTAAAAATGGTAATTACAGCAAGTACTCATAATAGAATAGCGTATCTTATCGTGATGGTAATACGCAGCGAATTCATTTTTAATAACTCCAAGAATCCACATAGGTACTTATCGCAAATTTCTCAAAATGTTGAAATAACCTTAATAACTATAATAATGAAAACAACTTAGAATTTTTTCGAAATAAAGAGTATATTAAATACAAAGAGAGTATATGAAATAAAAAGGCTGCGAATATAGTAATTGTGTTGAGTTAGCAACAGGTAGTAGCAACAGTAGTACCAGTCGAAAAGTATCAAATGTAGATGGCTTACCGGAGGTTCGGTATGTGCGATTATATATGACCCGCTTAGAAAAAAGAAACCGATTAACATAAACGGAATTGAAGGCAAATTACGAACCGTGGGATATGATTATTTAACGTTGTCTGTTAGTGGATGGGAATTTCATTAAAAAAATTCGTGTCAGTTGCCATCTGAAACCTCCGGAATTTTAGGTATAGATTTTTTACGTTAGTTTAATTGTAACAAAAATTTTGAATTTCATAATATTATACTGCATATTATGTATAAATTTGTGACCAGTGTTTAGAAAATACCCATAAGTAGTGTTTACCACTACGTATGGGTATTTTGGGAAGTAATACTTATTAAAGCATACCTCCGAGAAGCGAGAGTTTATTTTATATCAACTCGAGTGTGAAAGAATATTGTCGTCTATCCGAGAGAGTTGTGCGAGGGAGTTTTTCTGTCTGGTGAAATTGTCAAAGTAAATAACGGGTAATCAATACAAATATTAAATACACGAGAGGATCGGGTCGATCTTAGTTATTTTAGGCCCGAAACCGATAGTTTATTTAATTACTCAATTTGTAAATTGATAAAAAGCTCATTCATTCTTTCATTCATCCCGAACGTGTTCATAAAATGGATCATTGAAATAAAGAGGAAAAACTTCTATTATAAAAATAAAATTTCGACGTCAATAAATTATACAAATGAAATTAATCAATTAACAAGTCGTAACTTATACGAACATAATATTCAAATAAAAACCTAACAGTGACCCAGTGTATGTGAAACGGTATCGATTAACTTATTCTCAGGGGAATGAAATAGAAAAACGGAATCGTTGAACCAGCTTCTAGTAAGTGGTCAAGTCTTTTATTTGTTGTACCTAAAAAGTCAGAAAATGGTAAGGACAGGAGCTGGCGCTTGGTTATTAATTTTTGAAAATTAATTAACCGTATTGTACATGACTAACTCAATACTACAGACATTATTAAGATTATTTATCAGGGGTTATGTATTTTACCCACCTTGATTTCAATTAAGCCTTAATCCATCTAATGAATGCACGGACGGCGCGGCGTTCACTACACCCTCTGGTCAATTTCAGATCAATCTCAGACCAGTATGCCAATGGGTTTAAACACTAGCTCAAACCCCTTTT